TAAATACAAAACCAAATCTCATTCGTGAAGACTAAAGCTAACCACATATTACACCGCCGATCCAAAACTAAAGAACAAACTAACACCTAGCCTCTAGTACCTCCGCGATTCCCCCAGCACTAAATAAAAAAAAAAAAACAACGGGCAAGTCTACCGAGAGTCAGTGAAGTACTGGCATGCTGTAACTCCCGTCACTCGAACCGACGGACAGATAAGCTGTCAGGCATGTTTGAGCATGCACGCGACAGGCCCTAACCGCGCTACAACGGCCCTAGGTACGCTACGGTAAAACTTTCAATAGTCCGCGCCGCGGGAAATCAAAACAGTGGCTTTTTAAAAGCCCGGACCTGTTAGGGCTGTAGATCAGGATCGTTACGGTACGGTTGGGTAGATACGTCGTAGGGTGGGTGGGGGAAACCCCCTGAGTGGGTGGGGCTGGTTTTGTTTCACGCTGCTCGGGTAACGGTCAGCGGGAACGTGACGTCACCGCTGGAGACCGTCACGCCTGACCGCTTCAATGCCAGATCACGTTTGGACGAGGGAATCAGTGGGCGACAACTGGAGAAAGTCTGGCGCCTTGGACAGCACACGCAACAAGCGAGCGGCCGGTTGGGAGGGGGGGGGGGGTTCGTGTTTTTACCTTAGCTTGAATCTACTTGACCGTGCCTGTCAACTATTCACTGACGTGATATTTCTAAACGAAGACATTATCGCTAAAGACATATATTACTGACCTAATGCATCTGACCACTGACGTAATCTATCTAACCAACAGCCATTCACTGATCTAATGCATCTGAATAATTGACATTCACTGACTTAATTCATATGACTAACTTTCGTACACTGACCTAATGCATCTAACCAACTGCCATTCAACCACTGACCTAATAAATCTAACCACTGACCTAATGCATGTAACAAACTGCCATTCACTGGCCTAATTCATCTAAACACTTACGTAATGCATCTGACCAACTGTCATTCACACAATCAATACATTTACCAGCTCCATTTCTAGCATATACGATCAGACTGACCGCAACAACAACCAGGTGTTGTATCGGCCGGATAGACGTCTGTCAGCAACTGACATCCGACAGTGCCCGAAGCGTCTGTCATTAGCTGACTTGATACAGTCACCGAAATGTCTGACTGCCATTAGCTGACTTCATACAGTCACCGAAACATCTGACTGCCACCAGCTGACTTGATACAGTCACCGAAACACTTGACTGCCACCAGCTGACTTGATAGTCACCGAAACACTTGACTGCCACCAGCTGACTTCATACAGTCACCGAAACATCTGACTGCCACCAGCTGACTTCATACAGTCACCGAAACATCTGACTGCCACCAGCTGACTTGATACAGTCACCGAAACACTTGACTGCCATAAGCTGACTTCATACAGTCACCGAACACCGAAATGTCTGACCACCATGAGCAACAAGCTGACGTCTTATAGTCCACGGCGTGCATGTCGACGTGATGTCCAACAAAGCAAGACAACCAATGACACCGACTGACAATGAAATCAACAACTGGCGACAACAGAAAATCCTGTATCCCCCAGTTATCGCCGACTCTACTCCGCCTTCAACCATCACGGTATTCTCCCTAGGACAAAAGACGACATCCTTTTAAAGAAAACGCATCGGGACCCTTCAACCAATTAGAGTTTAGACAATTAGGGGGGGGGGTTAAAGTTTTAATCGCCGAGATGCTCGTTTTAAGAAAATCCCCCCCCCCCCCCCCCCCCCCGGTCCCACCATGTAAGCTGTAGGTAAGACTCCGTAAGACATTTATGTGCTCAGCAAGGGGCGATCACCTGAGCGTTGGAAAAGGGAGACGATCCGACGTACGTCCATACGCTGGCATGTGTGACTTGACCAACAGATCCTGGATTACCGTCCTTTGTGCATCGCACGACCAGTTCACACCCCAGGGCACAATGCCCCCCCCCCCCCCCCCCCAGAGTGACATCAGCTAATACAAATCTTTTATCCCTCGGCTTTATGTACTAAGTGCTTACGTTTTATAGAGAAGTCCGTACAAACTATAATAATACAGCGCCCCGCTGAGCGGGAGTTTTACGTCGTTTTAATGGGTGGGGGGAAGGGCAGAGTGGTCTATATATATTGATGGTCACTACCTGTTAATCCTTTTAGTCCACACTTAAGTGGAGGCCGATCAACCCGTGTATTAAGAACAGCAATTCGATGTATAATAGGTAAAGCAACTCGAATTAGTACAGGTATAACACTATGTGTAACAGGTGTAGTAACTTGGAATAAAGCGGTATAGAATATGTATAAGACAACTTATAATATGTATAACACGAAATATAATAGGTTTACCACGACATATTATCATAGGTATAACACGATATATAATAGATATGACACGAGATATAAATGTTAAGAAACGCTTTATAAAGGCAAGCAAATAGTTAAATATGTGTGGCAAACCGATAGCTAATATGCATGACAACCCTTTACAATGTGTCTGTCAACCCGATTGACAAAATCGGCGACCCGGCAAACAAGAGGTTCATCTCTTTGATAGACGAGTCTAGTCTAGATCCATTCTATTGTGTTGTAAGGTCGCCTAATTAGAGCTGGCCCGTGCCATTAAACTACCCAAAACCCATGTGTAGACAGGCTGCTCACAGTCCACGGTACTAACAGAGCCAGAGAGAGGCCTGTACAGCAAGTGTCATTATTAGTCATTAATTAGCCGGTTCTGTGAACATCCGTATGTATTTACGTAGGGTCCCAGGCTAGCTGGTCCAATGTCTATTAGCTAGCTCGGCGCACCGGTTAACGGACTCGTTCATAAGCATAGTAGGTCAGTCTGGACCGGCTTAGGAACAAAGTAGGTCCGTCTGGACTAAAGTAGGTCAGTTTGAACTAGCTTAGGAACAAAGTAGGTCAGTTTGGACTAGCTTAGGAACAAAGTAGGTCAGACTGGATCAGCTTAAGAACAAAGTAGGTCAGTCTAGACCAGATTAAGAATAAAGTAGGCCAGACTGGACTAACCTAATAACAAAGTAGGTCAGTCTGGACCAGCTGATGAACGCAGCAGGTCAACCTGGACAGAATTAGGGTCAACTTGGACTAACCTTAGGTCACCGTGTGCCAGCCCAAATGACAACAAGAGCCGAACAAGAGCGGGTAGAGACAGGCATACCGTACACCACAGACAAGACGCTCGGGTGACCCGATCAACAACGGACCCGTTGACCGTTCAACCACGGTCCAGCAACCATCACAGGGATCACAATAATCCCCGGGGGGTCGGGACAGGACGTGGGGGGGGGGGGGGGAATAAAACAACGATGTGGCGTAAAAGCCTACAACTGGATCAGGCTAGGGGACGTTGGCGCGTAATTCCCTCCCCAAATATTTGGGCAGGGACGAAATCCCCCGGCACCACAACAACCCTCAACACAAACATGCCGGTACGGCCCCCGTGTTGGTCAACACGAGCGGCGATAGCGCTGGATATTTGGGGCCAACGGGAAAACCCGCTGCGGACATGAGGGGGGAAATGGGGAAAACCCGGAGCGATGGAGAAATTTGAGATTACTCATTGTGTGCGTGTACATTCAGCAAAAAAACTGTCAGCACCTCAAAAAAAAATATTACCTTTTTTTTAAAAAAAACTTTTTTTTTGGCGGGCTAGGAAATTTAAAATTACAAGATTTTAAAAATTGTTTATAAATTCGTAAAACAAGCATTACCAATAAAAAGAAGAAAAAAAATATATCTAAGATCGTACATTACAATCTGTTGATTTTTAAGCGGACTTAAAATTGAAGCATGCAGGTCACTATGACTTACATCAGATTTGTATAGGATAAATTAAGATGGGGGGGGGGGGGGGTTGGAGGCGGTTGATGAAATGAGATGAGATATTGAAGGCTTACATAGTAATTAAAACTCAAATTGTTAGGTTATCACAGCATATCTTTAGCAATTTGTTTGGTTTTTTTTAATTTATTTTTTTTTGGGGGGGGGGGGGGGTATAGGGGAAGGGTAGAATCAGGTTCAATTAAATGAAATTTTTTACTTTGCTTAGAAATAATTACTTGTGACATTGTTTTCTGACAAGGTCGTTATTAATTGATTCCTTTGTTTTCACCTTGGAAAAATAACATGTGAATACTATAGCTAATAGTGGGTCCGGTTTGTGGTAGGATTTTAAAACTTGAATCTTCATAACACCAATATTTTATGACTAAAAAGTGTGGCAGTTTTTTTTTTTTTGCATGAGACGACTAAGGTAACTTGGTAAAAAAAATATTTTTTGGAAAAGATCTGTTTTTGGTTAAAAAAAATATTTGTATTAGGCAGAAAAAATGTTTTGTGTAATTGGTTATTTTGGCAGAACAATATTTGTGGTAATTGGGTTATAAAAGAAAAATAATTGGGCAATTGGTTTTTAGGAAGACAGGAGTTTTGGTGGTTGGATTATTCTAAGGATTGGTTTTGTTTACAGTAGAAGTTTGGGATAACTGGTTAAGGGTAGAAAAAGTGTTTGGTGTAGTAGGTTTTGGTAGAAAAGGTGTTTGGTGTAGTATGTTTTTGGTAGAAAAGGTGTTTGGTGTGCTAGGTTTTTTTGGTAAAAAAGGTGTTTGGTGTACTAGGTTTTTTGGTAGAAAAGGTGTTTGGTGTACTAGGTTTTTTGGTAGAAAAGGTGTTTGGTGTAGTAGGCTTTTGGTAGAAAAAGTGTTTGGTGTACTAGGTTTTGATAGAAATGGTGTTTGGTGTACCAGGTTTTGGTAGAAAAGGTGTTAGGTGTACTAGGTTTTTTGGTAGAAAAGGTGTTTGGTGTACTAGGTTTTGGTAGAAAAGGTGTTTGGTGTACTAAGTTTTGGCGGAAAAGGTGTTAGCTATTGTTTTGGTAAATGTTAAAGTCATAAATATTTTGTAAGTGGAGAAGTGTGTGACTCATGTGTTACAGGCAGTTGAATGAAATGAAACCAAACTTACAGTCTTGACGAGTCTGAGGCGCCATCTTCCCCCTCGATCCTGTACACCTTGCCGTACATGACGTACTCGAACTGGTCAGCGCGGCTGGGACCTGTGTTGGTGGGGTTGAACTCACCGTCGTCCGGGCACCCGTCCTCTCGCAGTGTTGTGGCTATCACCAGACGGAACTTGTCTCCTGCAAGTGTGGAAGGTTTGTGTCAGGTGGTCCAGGTGTCAGTTGGTCCAGGTGTCAGGTGGTCCAGGTGTCAGGTGGTCCAGGTGTCAGTTGGTCCAGGTGTCAGGTGGTCCAGGTGTCAGTTGGTCCAGGTGTCAGTTGGTCCAGGTGTCAGTTGGTCCAGTGGGAGGTGGTCCAGGTGTCAGGTGGTCCAGGTGTCAGGTGGTCCAGGTGTCAGTTGGTCCAGGTGTCAGGTGGTCCAGGTGTCAGTTGGTCCAGGTGTCAGTTGGTCCAGGTGTCAGTTGGTCCAGTGGGAGGTGGTCCAGGTGTCAGGTGGTCCAGGTGTCAGGTGGTCCAGGTGTCAGTTGGTCCATATGTCTGTTGGTCCAGTGGGAGGTTTGTGGCAGGTGGTCCAAGACCTGGTGTGGTGCCTGACTGGGGTCTACAGTCAGGAGTTAACTAGGGGGGGGGGGCTGGGGGGTTGGTCCAGTGGAAGGTTGACCACTGAAAGGGTAACCATTGGATGTTTAACCACTGAGATGTTATCCAATGACACTGATTTAACTGCACCTTTGAAAAAAGTACTGGTCCAGACCTGATGGTGCATATTGCAGGTGAAGTAGAGTCAATACTGTGCACAGCAGCTTTTACCCAAACTAGCCAAACAAGCTGGGGTGGGGGGGGGGGGTGCAAGGGGGCGGGGTTCAAGTATGTCCTAAAGACAGAGCTCAAGTGTAGTATTGTGGGAAAATTGACTTTTGTGCCAGAGAGAGTGAGGGGTTGAGGAAAGAGTGGGATAAATTTTGGATTTCTAAACATAAGAATGTTTTTTTTTTTTAGTTTTAATTTGTGTTTATGGAACTTTGTCATTTAGGGATTAGCCCTCATGACATTTCATGAACAGTCACCTGTTTGATATTTTAAATAAGAACAAAATGGCAATATCTGTGGCCGAGGCTATCACCACAATGGACACATGATGTAGCAATGGATACATGATGCAGCCTACAACCAAGAACGACAACTACCAATAGGTTGCAGAGAACAAGCTTACCCAGTTCCACGGGGTAGATCAGTGTGTTCACATCCAGGATCAAGTCCATCTTAAACGACTCACTTTCACAGAACAGCCTGGACACTGAAATAAAAATATATATATATGTAATTTAATTTAAAAAAAAATTAAATAAGGTAAATACATTATACAGAAAGATGAATGGACAAAAAAATGACAAACCACATGTTAACTGTATACCACTTGTTAAAGAAATTCGACATAGTAGAAAGGAGATGATGGTTAGAATAGAAAGGCGTGGGGTATCCCCCGGTATACAGATACACCACGTAAGACTTTCGATGAATTCACTTCCCACCTAGGCGCAACACGTCTCATCCTATCTACTGGTAGACCTACACACACACAGTGGGGGTAGATACACACACACAGTGTAGGGTTGCCCGATATTACATGGAGAATTTACTGCACACAATACGACGTCTCGTACCCCAGTAACAGACTACATGACCGGGGTGGGTGGGTGGGGGGGGTAGTATTGCATATCTACAGCAGATTATACATGTGGATATGTAACATGAACAGACAAAACATGGATCTATAAAATGAGAGGGGAAAAAACAATACACAATATGAGAGAAAAAGCAGGTAATACACGCGGATCTACAATAGGAGAAAATATAAATTATATATTTTTTTAAACTTTAATAAATTTTTATATGCACTAAAAATTTCTTTCATTAAAGAAAGCTTTTTTTTTGTTTTATTAATTGCAATTAAAACCTAATTATTATAAAGGTTTTTTTTTATTTGTATTTTTTTTCTCCTTTTTTTTTTTTCGTTCTTAATGAAACTGACACCAAATACGACTAAAATATTTGCTTTAAAACCCGATCTTAACGCCAGTAAAAACCAACCGTACATCTAAACGCAAGTGAAAACCAACCGTACATCTTAACGCAAGTGAAAACCAACCGTACATCTAAACGCAAGTGAAAACCAACCGTACATCTAAACGCAAGTGAAAACCAACCGTACATCTTAACGCAAGTGAAAACCAACCGTACATCTAAACGCAAGTGAAAACCAACCGTACATCTTAACGCAAGTGAAAACCAACCGTACATCTAAACGCAAGTGAAAACCAACCGTACATCTTAACGCCAGTGAAAACCAGCCGTACATCTTAACGCAAGTGAAAACCAACCGTCCGTGACAAACAACTAACCATGTGAAACAGATCGAGTACACGCTTGAGATTAATTCTACTGTTATATCCCCTTTAATGATTGAATATATTAATCTTTGTATTAATTTTTTTATTACTAATTTAATGTTAAATTAAATTAAAAATTAGATATTATTGCATTGTCATCAAAGTCGAACGTGTCTATGAAGCTTGAACGAAATCGTTGCATTAGAAGTGGGTCACTTTTGAGTTACAAGATTTGCCACACACAAAAAGACAATGTTACCTATATCAATGATTACTAAAAAACGGATCTACAAAAAAAAGAGAAAAAACTTACGGATGCACAACATGAACAAACATACACATACACAAAAAAAAACAAGAAACTATATACATCATACGGATCCACAAACATCAACACACAACAAACGGACAAAACACAGAGTCAGGGAATCGTAAAGAAATGCCCCAGTTATTTAAAAAAATGGCGTTGCCAAGCGTCTTATTGAGGTTAACATCGGATAAAATATACACCTAGACACTCTACATTTAAAAACAAAGCATCAATTCTATTGACGTGGGTTTATGGAGACCCTGAGAGTGTGGCTCCAATGTTGGTCTCCCGTGTTCACGTGCGTCCATTATTTATGTTCTTCAATAAATAATTCGCTCTGATACCTGCGCCATTTATAAACCTGGACTCACCCCTCCCCCCAACCCCCGCACTGCCCCACAATCTATTGGTTCCAAACTTTAACTACCCGAGGGTGGGGGGCATCTCTAAGAAATGGCGAAAGTATTTTTGGCCGCTATGGCTTCATATGTATGGCTTGGTTTAGTCACGTGGCATGGGCAATCTATTTCGACCCCCCCCCCCCACCCATACTTAATTAGTAAGGTACTATAGGGCCTCCGATGTATGCAAGGTGGGGAGGGGGGTTAGAGGTCAGCGGGAGCACGACACACCATATCTAGAGCACATGCTGTATCAATGGAACAGGAGGAGTACACTACGTCACTACAGACACGTGATCTCGGGTGAAATACGAATCGCATGAACGCTACGAGTGCCCTTTTTGGCCCTGTTAAAAACGAATAGCATGAATGCTACGAGAGCCCTTTTTGGCTGTTAAAATACTAATAGCATGAATGCTACGAGTGCCCTTTTTGGCTCTGTTCGATACGAATAGCATGAATGCTACGAGAGCCCTTTTTGGCTGTTAAAATACGAATAGCATGAACGCTACGAGTGCCCTTTTTGGCTCTGTTGAAATACGAATCGCATGAACGCTACGAGTGCCCTTTTTGGCTCTGTTGAAATACGAATCGCATGAACGCTACGAGTGCCCTTTTTGGCTCTGTTGAAATACGAATCGCATGAACGCTACGAGTGCCCTTTTTGGCTCTGTTGAAATACGAATCGCATGAACGCTACGAGTGCCCTTTTTGGCTCTGTTGAAATACGAATCGCATGAACGCTACGAGTGCCCTTTTTGGCTCTGTTGAAATACGAATCGCATGAATGCTACGAGTGCCCTTTTTGGCTCTGTTGAAATACGAATCGCATGAATGCTACGAATGCCCTTTTTGGCTTTGTGTGAGTATACAAAACACAGGCGTCATTAACCGACACAAAGATGTAGCCATGCTACCTACACAAAGATGTAGCCACTCCATGCTACCTAACAAAGATGTAGCGACTCCATGCTACCTACACAAAGATGTAGCCACTCCATGCTACCAACTTCAAGATGTAGCGACTCCATGCTACCTAACAAAGATGTAGCCGCTCCATGCTACCTACACAAAGATGTAGCCACTCCATGCTACCTACACAAAGATGTAGCCACCTCATGCTACCTAACAAAGATGTAGCCACTCCATGCTACCTAGACAAAGATGTAGCCACTCCATGCTACCTAACAAAGATGTAGCCACTCCATACTACCTACACAAAGATGAAGCCACTCCATGCTACCTAACAAAGATGTAGCCACTCCATGCTACCTAACAAAGATGTAGCCACTCCATGCTACCTAACAAAGATGTAGCCACTCCATGCTACCTAACAACGATGTAGCCACTCCATGCTACCTAACAAAGATGTAGCCACTCCATGCTACCTAACAAAGATGTAGCCACTCCATGCTACCTAACAAAGATGTAGCCACTCCATGCTACCTATAAAAAATGTAGCCACTTCATGCTACCTATACAAAGATTTACACTCTACGCTACCAACTTCAAGATGTATCCACTCCCCCCCCCCCCCATCAAGTGGTAACCATTGGCAACCACTGAGGCCCTGTTGCTCTAGAACGTGCTGAGACCTGCAAGACGTCACGTGACCAGGACAGGCTGGGACGTGCGCCCCCCCCCCCCACCCCATCCACCACCACATCCTTACGAACCAATCAATCCATTTTTCATGAAGAATTCACTCATCAATACCCACCCCGTCCTCCGTTCTACCAATACTCGACATTCTTGTGTTCATTAAGCGATCGATGGCAGATCGATAATCAGATACCGATCAAACCAGGGTAAAAGAAGGATGACATCAAAAACTAGCGGGGCGGGGATAGGGAGGGTATTTGTACCAAAGCTGCTCTTTTTCACAAATCTCCAGGACAATATAGCTTATACTTCGTTATGCTGGAGAAGTAGCAACTAGCTCGACCAAACGCATAAGTAATTTGCAAGAAGTGTGGCGGGAGATGCATGTAGACAGTGGCCTGACAAAAAGTATGTAGAAAGTAACATGGGGAATCTGGTATGTAGCCAGTAGCCTCATCAAAATATGATACAGCTAGTACACCTAGAAAGTAGCCTGATAATCGAATATGTAGCTCCATCAAAATATGATAGTAGCCATATAAAGTAGCCTGGGTAATCCAGTATATAGCCAGTAGCACCATCAAAATATGATACAGCTAGTAGACCAGGAAAGTAACCTGGGAATTTAATATGTAGCCAGTAGCCAGATCAAAATATGATAGTAGCCCTAGAAAGTAGCCCGAGAATCAAGTATGTAGCCAGTAGCCCCATCTCCAAATGACTACCATGTAGCCACTAGCTCGATACAATAAAATGCTGCACGACCAAACCTTAACAAGTAGCCTGAAAAAATAATTAGCAAGTTGCAGCATCAGCCCGTAGCCCGATCTATTGCTTCTATTGTAGCAAGTATACACTCTTTAAATAGATCAGATAGCCCTAACCTCTCTCTATAATCAGAAGCGGGAAACGCCTTACAAACTTACCAGCCAAGAAGTAAGGAACAATCACCGGTGCCTGCATCACATAAATAAATCATCCACGTGTGAATAGATGAATAAATATTAAGAAGGTGTGTGTCAGTTTTTTTTGTATGGGCATCAAGTCTGTACTCGCAAGTTCGATAAATAATCGATTACCCAGGAGACAATACCGGTAATCGAATACAATAACAAGGCATCGCTAAGCAACTGAAGGCTTTCTATGGCAAGTGAAAACAAGCTTAACTTGAAACAATAATGGTATACACATCTTGTACATTTTACCATTAAAACTGGTTGAAACTTGGAACAATAATGGTATACAAATCTTGTACATTTTACCATTAAAACTGGCTGAAACTACTGGTATACAAATAGTCTACCACTATGCTGGTGTTGTACCATTCTACACGTGCCACACCTAGCCTACAAATACATGAACTAGCCCACGAGTACAGCACAAAGTTTATATGTGCAGCACAGAGCGATAGTGTTTTATCGTAAACCTTTCAAAAGCACCTTGCTCAAATGTACAGTAATTGGCACTTATGTGCAGTGTTATAATACATATATGCAAAACCTAGCCGAAATGTGCAGTACCTAGCCCATATATGAATTACCTTGACAATATATGCAGTATCTAACCTGTTTATGCAATACTTAGCAGATAAGTGCAGTACCTTACCTATATCCGCATGTTATCTAAGAGTCGGTTGAATAAAACTGCCCATGGATACCCGAAAGTTTGACACACAAAAATGACCACCAACACCACAATTCATGAAAGTGTCGACTAAATAAGAATCGGCCGATCGTACAGAAAGTTGAAACAAGCCAGAAGTAACGACCCAAAAAAAAAAACGTGGATAGGTTTTGATCTGAATCAAACAAAGTTCGGGCTAGGATACCTTCCCGTTACACCTACAGCATCACCATGGATGTGGGTACCACAACAACTAACGTGTCACTTGCTGGACTAGTGTAGCGTGTCACTAACTGGCTAATGCAGTGAAAACCTACTCCATCATAATGAAGACAACACTAAACATGCAACACGTGAGCAAAAGTAAAACACCGTTTCGAACCGTTCGGTCCTTGGAGCAAGAGTTCACCTGTTTCACTGACCTCAGCATATGCAGGTAATGTGGTCAGCGCTATACCAACCCTTCCCTAACGTGAGTCAAGTACCCATCTGAGTTGGGTGGACTCAGGGACGTCCTACGGACTCGAGCCCGGGGCACGAATTCCAGTTGGCAATCGAATGCGCTACCACCCGACCAAGCCGTCCGTAGCACGCCAGCAGACATTTCTAAACTACAGACACGCAACAAGTTAGACCACGGCAACAAACATACAAGAACCATAACACCAAAGCCACTCACATAGTTAATGTCTGGAACAATTCATATCGTCAAGACTACGCTGTAGGAACTAATTGAACACAGTCACTCATAAAACACTGCTAAATACTGTTACTAAAGCTACCACAAAACAAAGCCAAAACTCAGCAACGTCTGCCGCCTAATCCACATTGTACCTGTCTAAAACACCAGCCTGTTGTAGAGACATCTACGACGCCTAGTCCACGAAACACACGTTTCCTGTCGAAAACAGAGGTGTGTTCGGCATTTCTAACACACCTGATTCACACTGTTCCTGCAACTAGACACAATGTACCTGTCCGAAAGCACAGGTGTGTCATACAGACAGCACGCGCCACAACCCGGGGTCGTGTGCGCGCTGCGGTGGAGCTAATTATAGCCCAGCATGGCGACCATTAGAGTGAGTACATGCAGGTCACGGAGTGCACGTGAGGCGAGCAGAAACGTGCATGTCCATTCAAGCACTGGACGGAGAACTGGGACTCACACGCTCTGATAACAACCTAACGTTTCAAACTGTTACAAGAAACCCACAGCGGCAACGTAGGTTTGAACCTGCAGCCATACCACCATGGCAACGTAGGTTTGAACCTGCAGCCATACCAGCACGGCAACGTAGGTTTGAACCTGCAGCCATAACTCCACGGCAACGTAGGTTTGAACCTGCAGCCATACCACCACGGCAACGTAGGTTTGAACCTGCAGCCATACCACCACGGCAACGTAGGTTTGAACCTGCAGCCATACCACCACGGCAACGTAGGTTTGAACCTGCAGCCATACCACCACGGCAACGTAGGTTTGAACCTGCAGCCATACCAGCACGGCAACGTAGGTTTGAACCTGCAGCCATACCACCACGGCAATATAGGTTTTAGCCTGCAGCCATACCACCATGGCAACCAAACGTACAGCAGTCTCACCACACTGGGCTGTTATACGTTCTCATCATGGGCGAACATTGTACTAAAAACATGGTCTATTGTGGTCTCAGGACTAGAGGCTTATATCGCTAATTAAAACAAATGGGATGGTAAACTCTACTTCAACTTCTCTAAGTGCCAACAGAGGCCACTTTGTTTGGGATTGTTAAACTATACTAATTTACTCAAAGGACCAAATAAGTCCCACCCAATTGTAGCAGTATTATGGTGTTAAACTCTACTTCACCTGCTCAAAGTAACCATCATTTGCTACTACAACTAATTATTACAGTATGGTGGAGGGGGGGGGGGGGTAAACTCTACTTCACCTGCCCAAACTCGAATTGTTTTCTACTATCTACATATTGTAACAGCATATAATATTGATGGTGATCACTCCAACACATTCACTACAGCAGGTGTTAAATTAATCTACACACATCAATGTGGAGCAACCAGAAGGAGAAAAAAATCCCACCCTATAATAGCAAGAATTCAGACTGGCAAAGCTACAAAAATGTTGACAACTGGCAGAGCATGAATGAGAATTGTATTGAACATGTTTGTTTAATGGCCAGAAAATAAAATTAACACCATTGATAGAAGCCAAATTACCGGAAATGTGTACCTGATACTATTTTTAAGAGCAATAAAGTAAAAAATATTGAGTAGCAACTAATTAAAACATGCTATGAATAAAATTAACACACTAATAAAACAAAATAAAACAACTTTTTTATATATACTTATCTTTAAGTGTGTAAGAATTCTCGATTATGTATCGATAGAAGAAAAAGGTTGTTTTAATTTACAATAAAAGACAATCATGATTGCATGAGGGTAAAACTAAATTAGATGTCTTTAAATTTTAAAAGTTTTACAAATTAATAAGATTTGTCTAATTTTTTTTACAGCTATATATCATCATTCGTGTTATATAGTTAGTGCCATTTTAAACAGTCAAAATGGAAATAATCTGTTTAATTAATTGTTTTGCGTTTTTATAAATTTCAGACTTTGTTACTGTGTAAGGACTTATATTTATTAATCTTCAGATATAAAATAATAGTTTGGAATCTTTAAATGCATGTGATATTAATGAGTTTAGTGATATAGTAATCAGCTAAGATGTGTGCTAAATTTATAATGTATACACCAAAGAAAAAAAATTGGAATAAAACTAAAATGGTGCAGTCTAATAATTTAAAGCACAAAATAAGCCTACCTTCCATTTCATACTAGAGAACATTCTCTGCAGACAATTTATGTAACTGTTAAAGATGTGTTTGACTGAGGCATCCATGTTTAGCCTGGCTTAACACTAATCAGTTGCAGGTGTCATACAATTTTTTTTAATACTTTTAGTCTAAGTCATCTAACTGGTTTCATAGTAACCAATCACATTGAAAGCTGTGTGCAACATTGTGAATTAATTCAAAGGTCTCAGCTCTCATATACTAGAATTCTGAAAACGTGTTATAGCATGTAGTGGTTTGCCGGGTAGAACGCTGGTTCGATCGCACAGAGTGTGTGTGTTGTTGCTAGACTACGGTAAAACTAACAGCTATGCCTCAAAGAATAAGCTATTCAGCGTTTCTATGAGAGTACAGCATGCTTTCCTGTCAACTAGTTCTACGGCTGGGCCCTGCTGTCGATGATCAATGACAGGACACAAGCTTTGTATTATAATAATTGCTAGGTCTAATTTTAAATGGTATTAGACTCTGGTTCTGGGATCTTAAGTATCTAACTTAAAAATAAGAATTTCGTTGAATTCGGTGACAGAATGAAAGGCAGAACGCAGTTGGACCATGGCCAACAATCAACATATTTTTAATATTTAGTAGGTCACATTAAAAACAGAAAAAAAGTTCGTTTAAATGAATGGTGAGCTCTGTAGCAAAAGTACGAAACAAAAGTTAATAATATTATTATTAAATTAATAAATTAGAAAAATGTGAGTACTCACCTCGGTCGAACTTTTTGCCATCTGGGTCAACGTGTTTAACATCGAAAATGTCTTCAAAAAGAACACCAGCCATTTTCCAATAGTTTGACTATATTTTATAATCAAACGTAGTAATCACTTTCAAAATATAAAGTCTGAATTAGATAAGTACTTCTCGGTTATTAATGATTCAATACAAGAATCGATAAATTCCAATAGTTAGCAAAAATGAATGCGAACATGTAGTTTCTTGTTTACTTCGGTATTTTAAAACTAATGTTCTTTCACCACGCAAGAGATCGTGGAAGGAGAATCATATCCGGGTTAAACTTAAACACGTTAGGCTCGAGTAGATAGACTTGTTCACATTTTAGTATTTTTAGCTAGCTTAGTTTGTTGCTTATCTTTGTTTTAATTAAATTAACTTAGTCATATTAAAAGTGCACCATGCTAATTAGCTTACCTATTTAGCAATTCTCAATTACACAACCTGCTCTTCGCTTTATATTTATAACGTAACTTAAACCTTTGTCTAGTTAATCAGTAATCAGCCATTCTATAATTTCAGCAATAGATTAGTGCTACAATCATAGGACTACTAAAAATAAAATAGCTAGATTCTAGATCTCGAATTGAACTGTTTATAGAATTATAGAGATTGATTGAAATACAAACAGAATTTTATTAGATAAGAAAATACAAGTTTCAAGGCGAAATATTTAGCAGTCTATGAGTCGAATGGGGGGGGGGGCACTCAGTATTTTTTTTAATAGAGTTCATTTTTATTAACTTAAGAATAATAAGTCCATTATAGGGGTACAAGATTGGATCTGTGTAAGAATACCGCGGGGTATTAGTATAATAATAATATAGATTAGTTTTCCCTTACGTTAAAAAAACCACTCTTCATACTCGTTTTATATATTTTTTGTTAGATTCTGTACATCCAGTCATCTTAGTTTGGGTAACCTTTGCCACCTAGACCAGATCTACTCTGATAGTGATAGGCCTAAGTTGAAGGCACCGCAACGCTTCATTGCTTGTACAGTTCAGGGCATGTTGCACACCGATCCCTAGATGTGATATGCAACTAATAATCAATGAATCAATTGCAGTAAATAATTGAAAGGCAATCAATACAGGTCTGCCAGATCTCGTTCGGTTACACGTCCTTGCCTGCCTGCCTGTCGCCCTAGCAATATGGCGGCACTCGTCCGTGCAAGCACGCGTTAAGTGGCCGGGGACTCGCATAGCACGATCACGGTGTTTGAACGCCCTAATGGTCGGGGTATGATCACGGTGTGAACGCCCTACCTACTGGGGTATGATCACGGTGATTGAACACCCTACCTACTGGGGTATGATCACGGTGTGAACGCCCTACCTACTGGGGTATGATCACGGTGTTTGAACGCCCTACTGGCCGTGGCTCGATCACGGTGTTTGAACGTCCTACCTGCTAGGGTATGATCACAGAGGCGTAGCGACCCTTCCCGGCGCCCGGGGCGAACTTTCAATTTGGCGCCCCCCCCCCCCCGCTTATATATATATATATATATATATATATATATATATATATATATATATATATATATATATATATATATATATATATATATACATGTGTGTGTGTATAATTATGTGTGTGTGATAGTGTGTTTATATATAAGCTTGTGTGTGGGTAAGAGTGTATTTGTGTGTGTAAGCGTGTGTGTAAGCGTGTATGCTACAGTCCGGACAAGGTTTAATAATTACATTGTATGATTTCCATTCCTTAAAACTTTACGACAATTTAATTCCCATTAAGATGCGTTTAATTTTTTTTGCGAAAGATTAGTAATGTCAGTAAAAAAAAATAAGCCTGATCTGTGTTAGAAGGTAGTTTGTAGCTAACGCTAATATGTTTAGACCAGCCTTTTATGTTCTAGTTTTGGAACGATCTCTGTTGTGATATGGTACATAGTTGGATTCGAAGTTTGTTAGAGTAAGGACACACAAGTGACATACAAGAAGAAGTTATCAGAAATATTTATTGTTCACATTGGAATACGACATGGGTATTTCGTTGATTGGTTGATGGTATGACAAAACAAGCTAGAGAAAACAAACTGGAATCCAACGGATGTTAACAGCTCGTAGTCTTGGATTTCGCAGATTTGCCCTGCCTTCTCGCACACAGAGTTTCTTCCAGGCATCTTTTGGGGGGGGGGGGGGCGAAGCCCCCCGAAATTTTTTTACCGCCCCCCCTCGAACGAAATGAAATTTATATAATTTATATATAGAAAATATATACGTTTAACAGTGTCCGCCCCCCCCCCCCGAAGAAAGTCTACCGCCCCCCCCCCCCCTCGAAAATTTCAAGTGCCCCCCCGGAGAAAAAAGTCTGGAAGAAACACTGCTCGCACAACGTCAACAACAAATGCAGAACTAATTGTATTGATTGAAGAAGCAGCAACAATCAATTTAATGATAGCCCATGACGTTCTGATTATAATCAGCAGCAATAAAACGCGTTTTAGCACTCTAAGAAAATGTGGAATTCAAATGCATTGTCAAAAAAATTCAATCAGGATCTATAACTAAATGTGGTCTCTTTTACTGTATGGCTTGGAGCTAGATTACAGAAAGTGGAGAATGAAATAAGAGCATGGAAAAAAGTGGTGGTTAGTGGCTTAGGGATTCAAGAATCCGTGATATTTAGTTCTCTTTAATATAGTTCAGTGATCCAGGTAAGATGTAATGCAATCAATCAAAAGTATCGGATCTCTCACGTTGAAGTTGAGAGAATCGTAAGAATCTTACAAAGAACTAGTCGCGTCTTTTTTTAAAACAAAACTGGCTATTGAAATTGTACATTACGCGTTAATACACTTGGTTTCTTTACTAAGTGTTAAGAGAGTTATCTACTCACCAATCCAGTACAAATACTTGCGATTTTTGTTAGCGAAAAAAGCGCCCCCCACACACACTCATCACAACCATCTTGGACAAAGTTTGTAGAGCGGTTTTTAACGTAACTAACTTTTTTTTTAAATGTTACACAATTATACAATGCACAGTACAATTCGTTTCTTTCTGAGAGCTAAAGGTTGTTTACTCAGAATCCTGTGTAATTTTGCTATTTTATTTAGCCTAAAAGCGCCCCCCTGCACCATCTTGATAAGTCACTAACGTATTTTACAGTTCAACAATCGTACAATACGTTTTAATACAATTGGTTTCTTTTAATAGCGGTAACGTTTCTCGACTCAACAATCTAGTGTAAATTCTTCCGTTTTAAGTCTCGAAAAAGCGCCCCCCCCCCCCCCCCCCCCATCTAAGAAAAGCTTCAAAGCGGTTTTGCCGGTCACTGTTTCTTAAGAGTATATGTTTTACATTAAGAAATCAAGGTAGAAAACAGTTAAATCAGTATGTAAAGGCGTGTAGCCATTACATTTCTTAACTTAGACAGTTTATAATTCAAAACTGCAGCATAAAATCAGCTTTAAAAATTTTTTCCCACCCCTTTTGGCGCCCCCATAGGGTCGGCGCCCGGGGCGGCCGCCCCCCCCGCCCCCCCCTAGCTACGCCTCTGTATGATCACGGTGTTTGAACGCCCTACTGGCCGGGGTATGATCACGGTGTTTGAACGTCCTACTGGCTTGGGTATGATCACGGTGTTTGAACGCCCTACTGGCTTGGGTATGATCACGGTGTTTGAACGCCCTACTGGCCGGGGTATGATCACGGTGTTTGAACGCCCTACCTGCTGCGGTATGATCACGGTGTTTGAACGTCCTACTGGCCGGGGTATGATCACGGTGTTTGAACGCCCTACCTGCTGGGGTATGATCACGGTGTTTGAACGCCCTACCTGCTGCGGTATGATCACGGTGTTTGAACGCCCTACCTGCTGGGGTATGATCACGGTGTTTGAACGCCCTACCTGCTGGGGTATGATCACGGTGTTTGAACGCCCTACCTGCTGGGGTATGATCACGGTGTTTGAACGCCCTACTGGTAGAGGTTAGAGTTAGGGCTATAGGGCTCGAGTTGTGGTGATTGACTGGCTGGGGTTGCCAATGAGGGTGATGTTGTTGTTTTTTTAACAATCTCAAGGTTTCTTTCCGACATTTATCTTCGGAGGGACGTGGGGGGGTAGGGGGGTGGACACATTAAACTTCCGTGCGTGCATTTAAATTTTCCGAGGGTGGAGGAGGGAGGGGGACTGAAAGAAACCCTGAATTCTCTAACGACCGGGAACTTTCACACTATCCACAGTGCTTGAACCCAATACATTTTTAATAAAAGGAGGTGGGGGTTTAGCACAGAAGAGGCTATTCGTTGAAAGAAAGGGGGTGGGGGGAGTGTTGAAAAGCTAAATAAGCTGGAGACCCCCCCCCCCCCCAACACACACAACATTAGTTAGAAATGTTTTTTTTTCCAGCCGCCAACCCACCCACCTATACGGACACCCGCCTGCCAATTATTAAACAAATCGTTTTACCTCTCGTTATACTTGGTAATTAGGATAACCTCTCGTAATTCCGGTAACCTCTCGTAATTCCGGTAACCTCTCGTAATTCCGGTAACCTCTCGTAATTCCGGTAACCTCTCATTAGTCTCATCAATAGGGGTTCTTTTATAAATATAGCCACGCTATAGCAGACTTTTACACCTCACTCAAAGGCAGACATCCACCTCCCCTTAAAAATGCATTACTCAATCTCACCCCTACCCCTTAACACAACCAATTTTTTCCCCCAGTATTTTTCCCCTTAAAAATACGAAATAGATGGTTTCATTTCTCCCCCGGCACACCGTCACGGATATCTCAATCCCTCTACTCCCATATATGTGTGACGTCATTTATTCAATGGTCAGACTGGTTAGGCAACTACAATCTGAAATGTCTATTGGTTGTCAGAGAAAAATATAATCAAGCGGGAGTGAGCTCCCCTAAACAGTAAGGCTTGGGATGGCACTTACAGTAGAATCGGGCTAAAGAAATTGTTGGTGGTAGGTTTGTGACAAAACCGCTCGTTTTTCGAGGAAGAAAGGTTATTTGAATAATTATGCTGCTTTAATTAGAATATGATATAAAATTTCCTGAATCTGAAGTTTTTATGGAAACCGGAAACAGTAGGCCTACCACTTCCGGTTACCGGAAATCGCACACAAGGTTATACAAGAACTCGTCCAAAACACCTCTAGTGGCTACATCATAAAAAATGTTTTATCAATGTTTCTTTCTTTATTCGTTCCTTTTAAAAATAACACAGAAAAAATTGACACCTTCATTAAAAAATGTCTTTCAAAATTGTTTTATTGGACGATTTTCAGTAGTTGAATGACAAACAGTGAAAAGAAAATCAAAGTAAACAGATTAAAGATAGATTTCATTAGAGTAACATCTCAATCAGTTTATTGGAATATAGCTGAGATAATATTGGGAAGTAGTCATTTTTGATAGTTGTAAAAAAGAGGATTCATATTGAAGTCTTGTTTAACTTGTTACATTTTACAATTACTATGCAGTGGAACAACAATCACTATATTAATTAATGGAAGATGGTAATAAATAGGTAAATTATCAGTGGGTTTGGGGGAGAAATGTACTAGTCTTTCCATTGCAAGTTTTTTCTACACACATCAATCATAATTAGAAACTGCATTGAAGAAGTCAAAGAGTATGGTCCAATGGTCAGTTCAAAGACATACAAAAAGTTTCAAACAATGTTCAGTTCATAGATTTACAGTGTAAACAAAGAGAGTAAAAAGCCATATAAATATTAGCTGACAGAACAATAGCTCACTACTGTCAATATCAGCTGATAGAACAATAGCTCACTACTGTCAATATCAGCTGATAGAACAATAGCTCACTACTGTCAATATCAGCTGATAGAACTATAGCTCACTACTGTCAATAACAGATGTTACCGATATAGCTGTTCATAGAATATAAAGCTCACCAAAAATACCACACACAAAAGTTCTGTCATTAAACAGGTTCATTCACAAATCTTTCGTACAATGAGCTCAAAATAAATAAGCTCAAATTAGCTGGTGATGGATAACAAGCAAAGATTTCAACAAGTGTCAAAGTACAAATTCATTGGAACTAGCAATAGCACATATTAGTTGCACATAGTTGTTGTAAATAATCATAGCATATAATCATTAAACATAGTTATAGCACGTCGCACATTATCATAGCATATAGTTTTGAGTTCTAAGCCCAACAAGACCCCAGACAAGTACTCTCTAGCCTACCCATATATTAGATACACCAACTACAGCCTGGAACCATCAACTCAAAGCATGGAATGTTAGACAAAGAGAAAAAAAAAATTCCTGCAAAATCTGGCACTTAAATATAGCAAGAGAACCACCAAGCATTCTACAGTGCAAGTAAACTGATAGTGCTGTACATACTTTGTTTCTTGGTATTTCAGGTTAAACATTTCATATTTACCATGTTAATTATATTCATGAAAAGTTTTTAACTAAAGGAATATGCAAAAATTGAATTATCAACATACCAAGGGGTAGCTATACAATTATGTGCAATAGCATTGAAGAGATATGACAGTATGCATAGACCTTGGAGAAATACGATTGTACTCATGAAATGAAGATCGGCATCTACAAAAACCCCAGTAAACAATCAGTCAACAAAAGAGAAAAAACTCAAACTGCCAGAGGGCAGAGCATAATATGTACACATGATTAGGGTGTGATTTTTTTTTTACTTTGAAGACCTGTACAAAGAAGTTTCAGACAATTTTTTTCCAAAACTTATTTCTTATCAGATTTTTAGATGTCTTTCAAGAGTCGTTTTGTTTTGGTCTGGGGCAATTTTATTTATATGAGTATTCAAAAATTTATTTTCAGTTTTACAGTAACTTAAAAAGCTATTTTTTCAAAGTTACAGTACTTATTTTTAAAAGGTTTCAAAAATTTATTTTCAGGCTTACAGTAACTTAAGAGCTATTTTTTCAAAATTACATTACTTATTTTTAAAAGGTTTCAAAAATTTATTTTCAGGCTTACAGTAATTATTTCTTTAAGAGCTACCCCACTGCAAACAGATTTAATTACATTTTAAGCCTTGACCAGAATTTAATTAAGTAACTGGTGTATTTCACCAGTCAAGTAGTGAGTTTTTGTATAGTGTGTACATTGTGCTGTGTGAACATTGTGCTATGAAATGTTTTTGTATAGTGTGTACATTGTGCTTAGTGGTATTATGTATACAGTGAAGTAGAGCTGGTATTAGGTGTACAATATACTAAAGGATGATTGTGTGTAAAGAGTGTACAACATGTACAAAGGGGTACTTGTGTGTAAAGGATGTGTACATTGTACTAAGGGAATGTGTGAAGGGATTATGAGTAGAGAGTGTACATTGTACTAAGGGATTATTTGCGTGTACATAGTGTGTACTTTGTACTAAAAGATGAGACAAGATGCTAGAGAAAACACTGTGTGAAATCTCATAACAGTAAAAAAAAATTCTTACACTACACAACAACATTGTTATCACATTATATTCACTAAATATCCTGTTCTTAAGAGATCAATGGTGTTCATAGACCCTCCGATCTAACAAAATATTATTCCAGTTAGAAATAATGTTATTAAAATAACTTGTTCATAAGAAGCAATATTTAGTGGACACATTGATAACAATTAGCAATGTTAAATTGATGTATAAATATGTACAAATTCATGGAGGTACATTACATACATGCAGTCATACATTTATCAAATTTGTATGTACATGGAGTATGAGCAGGTCCACATTTTTAATAAATATTTATTGACTTAAATCCAGCATACATTAATAATTTTTAAAGAAATTTAAATACTGATTGCTTATTTTTTTGTCATTAGTATACCACAGTTAGATGATAATTTTATAAAGCAAGTATTCACACAAATTTCTTGAGAAAAAAAAAAGTTGATTACAACATTAAATTTTGTCATAACCCAAAAAACGTAATAATGTATCAAAAGTTTATGTGAAAATTAAACTAAAAGTTTTTGTCAAATTAAGGGAAATAAAATGTATATATGGCTGAAAAATGATACAATCCACCGTGACCTGACGAGGAAGCTTTAAGGTGATGTCCCCATTATGATGCTGCATTAGATGACAGTATTTGATAGGATCATTTGGTGGTTTTCAAAATAATGCATTAAGGAACAGTCAATTTCTATAACTTGGCTACAAGGTTTCTATTAAAATTGATGTAAGATTATTAATATACGTTACTATATATTTCTAGATAATAATATTGCCTTTAAAATTTAATGTGTTTAGAATTTGCCAGCTATTTTAAATAGTTTCAGAATCACTGTTTCTAAATATGGCAATTGGTCTACACAATCATGATGGCCACTGGTCAACACAATCATGATGACCAGTGGTCAACACAATCATGAGCCATTGGTCAACACAATCATGATGGCCACTGGTCAACACAATCATGATGGCCATTGGTCAGCACAATCATGATGGCCAGTGGTCAACACAATCATGATGGCCATTGGTCAACACAATCATGATGGCCACTGGTCAACACAATCATAATGGCCAGTGGTCAACACAATCATGAAGGCCACTGGTCAACACAATCATGATGGACACTGGTCAACACAATCATGATGGCCACTGGTCAACACAATCATGATGGCCACTGGTCAACACAATCATGAAGGCCACTGGTCAACACAATCATGATGGCCACTGGTCAACACAATCATGTTAGGCATTGACCAACACAATCATGATGGCCCTTTTTATAAAATTAATGTATCTACATGTCTACCCATACCACATTAAAAAAAAACATAACTAATAGCCTAAACGTTGTCCGCCGCGCTCTCTCTTGTGTGGCTCCAGGCCCTACGTCATGGGGCTGTACGAGGAAGCTCTGTTGAAGCTGCCAGCGTGGAAGATGACAGCGCTGCGCACCTGACACACGTAGACCAGGGCCAGTGAGACCACAAACACCAGCAGACCCACGAGCAGGAAGGTTACCTGTAGAGAGGCAAAGTCAGCAGTTTAAACTCAGTGCTGGAAGGTTACCTGTAGAGAGGCAAAGTCAGCAGTTTAAACTCAGTGCTGGAAGGTTACCTGTTGGAAAGGCAAAGTCAGCAGTTTAAACTCAGTGCTGGAAGGTGAAATATTGTGGTTTTAGTGTAACATATGGGAGGAATACCACCATTTTAAAAAATTTTTATACTCAGGTCAGAAAGTTGAAATAATGTGGTTTTAGTGTCTCAACAAATGGGAGGAATACCACCATTTTAACATTTAAACTCAGTGCAGAAAGGTGAAATGTGGTTTTAGTGTCTCAACATATGGTAGTAATACCACAATTTTTACATGTTAAATTCATGTTAGAAAATTAGTTTTAATCCTCCACAACAGTTGTAGTTGTTTTGTACCTCATATTGATTTAAATTACTTGTTATTTAAGCCATCTTGCTGATTTCGAATGGGACACTTTAAGCCTGTCATTTTTAAGCTAGTTGGCATTAAGCAATGTTAATGCTGACTTCAACTGTTTAAACTGCTTTTTAGAATTGGACTTGTTCAAGCGAAATAAGTTTTACAATCAACTTTCAAGAAAAATTTTGATATTTTTTAATAAACATTTTAAAACCTACAGCTAATCATTTTAAAAAAATGCACTAAAAATATGAGCTTATGTGAATAAATATTCAGAGTTAAATTTTATTTCAAATTCAACATTTTACATCCAATCCACATATTTTCTACTTTTATGTCAAAACAATTAGGTAAAATAACAGCTCAACCAATGGTTGAGGGTCTCTTATTTTAAATCTGGGTCTTTATATGAGGGTAAGAATAGCCAAATGAGCCCAAAAGTAGAAATTAACACAAAGCTTTAAGATGAAACCTAATGACAGTCTTTAGGCTATATGTAACAGTAATGAAATTAAATGATAACATTGATTTAAAGCAAGATTTATTTCTAAATGATCAAATTGAAACAGTATAGAGTAGGTAATAAATAGGAAGAGTCCTGTCTATGCACATAATTAACACTTAAACAATGAAGAAATCAACAACATAACATGTTGCTTTAAACTTGTCTATGCACATAATTAACACTTAAACAATGAAAAAATCAACAACATAAAATGTTGCTTTAAAATAAAACTCAGTAACTAGAACAACAATTAAGTTCATACTTACTCATGAACATTAATAAAATATACATATTAAAAAACATACATTAATAAGTAGCATTACAGAGGTAAAAAGAAAGTAAGACAGGAAATAGGGACTACACATGCAGTATTACAGGCTAATGTATGGAGAAATGTTGAGTCTATCAGGCACTAAATTAAAATTAATATGAGGGCTGAGTGTGTAGAGTGTTAGTGGATGGCAGTTTAATTTATGTGGAGTGTGGCAGTTCACTGTATTAGGAGTGTGGATGCCTAAATAAATTGGGACTGTCTTTGTTGAGCGTGGCTGTTTGTGGAGTATTACTGTCCAGTGTATTAGTAATATGCACAATATTTAAATGTGGCAATTTGTTCTATACACAAAGTGCATTAACCAGCCAACAGTGTCCCCAGATTTCTGTACATCTACAGTACAAAGTCTGATAAAGACAGTTTTTTTACACAACCAAACACACTGATATCATGCCAGGATAATAGTGAACAAAGCATGCAACTTCAAGTACAGTTTTGCTATCTGTTTGACTTAATCTACATCTACTTACCATTAAATCTACTGACTACAGCAAGCAAATAACAGAATGTTTACAGCAAACGATCCAGTTAGCTAATTAAGCTCTTATCATGCTTGTTAATTCATTCTACATTTCTGTTTCAAACTGCTAATAGCTACATTACAAATTTAACTTTAAAATAATGAAAATTTAAAATATACAAGTAACATTTATTGGCTTTTTATAGTAAATTAACTTTTAAATCATATGTATATAATTAAATAAAATTCATAAAAATTGAAATTTAGCTATTTTATCATTAATAAATTTAAAAAAATTAATTTTGTGTTGTTTAATAATTACTAAAAAAATATAATAATCTGTCTACATTGAAAGTAAGGAATACTGATACAACTAAAATGTTGTTTTAAAGATAAATTAAAATAAGTAAAAGTTTAAACATTAAATATTTGATGTAGCCAATATTTCTTGAAAACATTATAATAAGCCAAATAAAATGTTGCTGCCAGATAACAAACAAAATCAAAGGCCAAAAAAAAAAACAACCAACCAAATCCATTGGTTTGACAGAAGGCAAGACGGAACTGGAGATAACAGGCTACAAACCTTACAACTGTACTGGCGGCTGGGCCGCTGGTGGGAATATTGTATCAGAACTGCTACTGACCAGGTAGATAAGTCCAGATGAAAGTAGGAGCAAGGCTAGTCCTATACACAAGGTTAAAAGCTGAGAGAAATACAAAGTTGTGGTACTTAGTGGTGGTCCAGGGTTAGTTTTGTTTTACTTGTAGGAAATAGTATTAAGTCTTCATTAATGATGAAAGTAGGAGCAAGGCTAGTCCTATACACAAGGTTAAAAGCTGAGAGAAATACAAAGTTGTGGTACTTAGTGGTGGTGGTCCAGGGTTATTTTTGTTTTACTTGTAGGAAATTGTATTAAGTCTTCATTAATGATGAAAGTAGGAGCAAAGCTAGTCTTATACACAAGGTTAAAAGCTGAGAGAAATACAAAGTTGTGGTACTTAGTGGTGGTGGTCCAGGGTTATTTTTGTTTTACTTGTAGGAAATTGTATTAAGTCTTCATTAATGATGAAAGTAGGAGCAAAGCTAGTCCTATACACAAGGTTAAAAGCTGAGAGAAATACAAAGTTGTGGTACTTAATGGTAGTCCAGGATTATTTTTGTTTTACGCTGACTTGAGGGGAAATAGTATTAAGTCTTCATTAATCATACAAGTAGGAGCAAAGTTAGTCTTATACACAAGGTTAAAAAAAGAGAAATAGAAATTTGAGAAAGTCCAGGGTTATTTTTGTTGTACACTGACCTGTGGGAAATAGTATTAATCAGCTGGTATATCGTGGTAAAATGGAAAATTGAAGAATACGGACAAAAATAGGAATAGTTAATAACTGGTGGTAATCTATCAACACAACTTTTGTGTAAGTGATGGTGGAAGGAAGCAGTGTTAAAAGTATTATTTTATTTTACTAATTCATAGTCCAAATTCTTAATTTACATACTTGACAACACAACATCTTTCAAAGCTGATTTATAAAAAATTTGACAAGATCCCATCACTTATAAAGCAAGAAAACTTTTTGAAATTGACAAGAATTCCCCTTCCCTTTAAAAAAAACCTTTTCTTTTAAATTCCATTAAAATCCAATTTTAAAAAAATCAATCACCAAAATAGCTCATTTCAATGTAAAAAAAATTAACAGCAGTCATTAAGTAAAATAAAACTTGTCATTCCTTGAGAACACATTACTGCCAACATAATCAGTGCTTTTCACTGACCGCTAAGCTGTAGGTTTCCTCATAACTTTTTTAAACACTGGTCCTTCAACTGTCCTCTCATTTAAACTGGGCTCTTATTTACAAATTATGTACCCACAGGTTATGGTACAGACACATTTTTGTACACAAATTATGTTACATGTAAACTTTGGTGCATAGAAATTTCTGTTTACACAAATTATGGTATAAAAGGTTTTTAACCAGTGTTAAACAATAATATTTGTGGGTTTAAATGTTCTTTGTTAGTATATTCATTATTAAAAGTTAGGATATTCAAAATAATTTTGGGTAAATACTCATTCTATAATTATGATATGATATTGAAATACAATTTTAAACTTGTTTTAAACAAATCAATAATTAGTATTAAATTCGATTACATTAAACCATCATTTGTATTAGGCAGTGGTTTCCAGATTATTGTGGAGGGGTTAGTGCAATAATATACCCTGTTGTTGTGTATTAAAACGGTGTAGATGCTGGCAAACAAAATGACAGATCAAGAAGAATCTGACAGCTGAAAAAATCAAATGTTCTCTAGCAGTGACTCAACAGTAAGCAGAGAAGCGGAGAGAGCCGATTCCAGCTAAAAACAGTACCTGGAAGTTTTGGCTGGGTACAAGGAATAGCCTGACGCCTATAGCTGTGGTCCCCCATCTTGACTCGGTCCATGTTGAGTACTGCCCAGAGAGCATGTCGTAACCTGGTGATGGGAGTTTAGAACAAGTTCACTTCACACTGTTAGGAAAGTCAAGATAAATCTCTTGTAGGGTTGGTAGTCAATAGGACAGATGAGAAGAGTTCATGTTTCAGGTGGTCAATAGAGCAGATGAGAAGAGTTCATGTTTCAGGTGGTCAATAGGGCAGATGAGAAGAGTTTATGTTTCAGGTGGTCAATAGGGCAGATGAGAAGAGTTCATGTTTCAGGTGGTCAATAGGGCAGATGAGAAGAGTTCATGTTTCAGGGATTTCTGCATACAAAAGAGGTATGGTCTCCACCCAGCTGTCTTTATTATCTCTAACATGAGCAAAGTAACAGCCATATGTATCTCTGCATATAAAGGGATATGCTGATCAATTCTCTACCCAGTCACCTTTATTTACTCTTATGACAGTCAAGAACCGACCAAAGCTGGGTGGTCACTAGTCCAGAATCCAAACTTAAAACTTTCAGGTAGCAGCTATGTGCTCTACCGTTTGACCATCACATACACTTATAGGTAACTATAGAGAAATTAATGAGCTTCTACTGTCCATTCTTACATTACCTAGTGTGGTCAAGGAAGAGATCACATAGTTTCAAACCAAAAAGATAACACAGTGATAAGCCATACATAATGTAGATCTTAATGAGTGGACATTTAACCCATTTACATATCATGCTAAAATAATTAGCAGGGTAAACTCTGCTTCATCTGGTGACATGCTTATTTGAGCCTACATTTAATGGTAGTTCTTAAATGGCACCTACTTACAACATCGTTGAGCCTACTCAGCTCCAATAAGTACATGACATATACTCAAATTCTATGGTCTAAACAGATTTACGCAGTCATGAAATTTACTGTTGTGAAGGTTGAGTTAGGCTAAACAAATACAGCCTGGTGGGTAAGGTATACTTTCAGATCTCTATTAGATAGATAAAGTAGAGTTCATCTGTTTAGTCAACACAAGAATATCCATTCACCTTTACTTTCACAGAGTCAGATACACTTAAGATTAGGGGGGAGAGACGTCATATGGACTAAAGCCAAAAAAACTGAACTTTTGAATGTCAAGTTAGCAACCAACATTTTCTGTCAACTCACCATCAATTTTAAAGGCAGGAGACACGGCCTCTGTGTACTGAACTAATCAAGTTAGCAACCAACATTTTCTGTCAACTCACCATCAATTTTAAAGGCAGGAGACACGGCCTCTGTGTACTGAACTAATCAAGTTACCAACCAACATTTTCTGTCAACTCACCATCAATTTTAAAGGCAGGAGACACGGCCTCTGTGTACTGAACTAATCAAGTTAGCAACCAACATTTTCTGTCAACTCACCATCAATTTTAAAGGCAGGAGACACGGCCTCTGTGTACTGAACTAATCAAGTTAGCAACCAACATTTTCTCTCAACTCACCATCTATTTTAAAGGCAGGAGACACGGACTCTGTGTACTGAACTAATCAAGTTAGCAACCAACATTTTCTCTCAACTCACCATCTATTTTAAAGGCAGGAGACACGGCCTCTGTGTACTGAACTAATCAAGTTAGCAACCAACATTTTCTGTCAACTCACCATCAATTTTAAAGGCAGGAGACACGGCCCCTGTGTACTGAACTAATCAAGTTAGCAATCTGTAAACTCACCATCAATTTTAAAGGCAGGAGACACGGCCTCTGTGTACTGAACTAATCAAGTTAGCAACCAACATTTTCTGTCAACTCACCATCTATTTTAAAGGCAGGAGACACGGCCTCTGTGTACTGAACTAATCAAGTTAGCAATCTGTCAACTCACCATCTATTTTAAAGGCAGGAGACACAGCCTCTGTGTACTGAACTAATCAACTCACCATCAATTTTAAAGGCAGGAGACACGGCCTCTGTGTACTGAACTAATCAACTCACCATCTATTTTAAAGGCAGGAGACACGGCCTCTGTGTACTGAACTAATCAACTCACCATCAATTTTAAAGGCAGGAGACACGGCCTCTGTGTACTGAACTAATCAACTCACCATCTATTTTAAAGGCAGGAGACACGGCCTCTGTGTACTGAACTAATCAAGTTAGCAACCAACATTTTCTGTCAACTCACCATCTATTTTAAAGGCAGGAGACACGGCCTCTGTGAACTGAACTAATCAAGTTAGCAATCTGTCAACTCACCATCTATTTTAAAGGCAGGAGACACAGCCTCTGTGTACTGAACTAATCAAGTTAGCAATCTGTCAACTCACCATCAATTTTAAAGGCAGGAGACACGGCCTCTGTGTACTGAACTAATCAAGTTAGCAATCTGTCAACTCACCATCTATTTTAAAGGCAGGAGACACAGCCTCTGTGTACTGAACTAATCAAGTTAGCAATCTGTCAACTCACCATCAATTTTAAAGGCAGGAGACACGGCCTCTGTGTACTGAACTAATCGACTCACCATCAATTTTAAAGGCAGGAGACACCACCTCTGTGTACTGAACTAATCAACTAACCATCTATTTTAAAGGCAGGAGACACGGCCTCTGTGTACTGAACTAATCAACTCACCATCAATTTTAAAGGCAGGAGACACGGCCTCTGTGTACTGAACTAATCAACTCACCATCTATTTTAAAGGCAGGAGACACGGCCTCTGTGTACTGAACTAAAGACTTGTAACACCATCCAGCTCTTTTGTTCCCGTCATTCACAAGGTTCCCCTGCATCCATTGATAGTTGTAGCGCTGGGGGTGGGGAAAAAACATTGACTTAATCCTCTTTCCTCCTTATGGTGCATAGGGACTCAAACCATAACCTTGGTGAAACCTGGTTTCATTCAAACGGTTCTGGCTGCTGGGTTAGCTCTATCACACCATGCCATGTTGACAGGTATCTATACAAATAACCATAGCTCTAACTCTGAATTTAATTAACCCCAACTCAGGTGTATCAATAGCATCATGCTTTAACAAGTCTATGGAGTATCTGGACAAATAACCATAGCTCTAACCCTAACCCTGAATTTATCCCAAACTCAGGTGTATCAATAGCATCATGCTTTGACAAGTCTATGGAGTATCTCAACAAGTACAAGCCAAACCCTAATCTTAACCCTAGTCACCGGCCACCTAAATAAGAGAAAAAAACTAACACCCTGAACTAAACCTGGTTTATATTAATCGAATGTCGAATTACTGAAACTCTTTTAGCCCTAAACAAAAATCTCTAACTTTGTAATATAAAAGGAACAGCCATTAAAGAAATGTTAGCATCAGTAAAGTGTACAAAAGGTGAACACTATTCCCACCTGTTACCCAGTAACTTAAAACCTCTGTATGTTAAACATCAGAGAACACACCAACAACATTTGTTACATCAGAACTTCAAAGATTATTGTAATTTACCTCCAACTCTCAAAAATTAAAAATGTTTTCCCAAGTAAAAATGGTCTAACCTTGTCTTTATCTGGAGTTTTACACTTCTCTTCATTTGCCATGACCAAGTCTCCAGTAAATCTGGCCACTAGGGCGTACACCAACCGGGTCACTTCATTGGTGTGGGTTTTAACACTCACATAGAAAGGAAATGGCTGGATGGCATCGTCTGAAATCAATGGGGAGAAAATAAGGAAAATGTAAAGTGATGGCTAAGAGGTTTTCATGGCCATGACAACAAACACAAAACATGCAAATTGTAAAGTTACTATTTTAAAGAAATGTACAAACTAAAGTCATTGGACAATTGTGTAAACACCCTTGAAGGATCAACAGAACATTGAATAATTTTCTAGCCAATACAATACCAACTACTGTAGCGAAAACTTCACAAAAGGCATTATATAAGGACAGAATAGTTACACTTACTACAGTTGTTAGGTCACTAAAGCTTGTGACATAAGTTGTTAGGTAACTTACTAAAGCTTGTGACTACAGTTGTTAGGTCACTTACTAAAGCTTGTGACATAAGTTGTTAGGTAACTTACTAAAGCTTGTGACTACAGTTGTTAGGTCACTAAAGCTTGTGACAAAAGTTGTTAGGTCACTAAAGCTTGTGACATAAATTGTTAGGTCACTTACTTGAACTTGTGACTACAGTTGTTAGGTCACTAAAGCTTGTTACAAAAGTTGTTAGGTCACTTACTAAAGCTTGTGACATAAGTTGTTAGGTCACTTACTTAAGCTTTTTTCGTTCACAGTATCTATGGTCTCATGAAACAGCTCACAGTTGGGGCTGACCAGGAAACAGTACAGGAGGTGAGTGACCTGGAGGATCAAAATAGCTCTTGATATGAACATTGTAAAAGAATGTGTGGCATTTAACAAATAAAATTTAAAATAGAAATAAATCATAAGCATTTATTCCTTTTGTGTTTTAAATAAATAATATGAACAGATTTTTTTGCTGAATACGAAAGAAATTTTATCTTAGAAAATAATAATTACAGAAGATGAACAATGATAAAGGCCTTGGATTCAAAAAGAAATAACATCCTTTTAAGAATATGCATCAAATAAACAAAAACCAAACTAATAAATGTGATAACAGTAGTATGTAAATTAGTATGTAAATGTGAACTGACATACTACCAGACCAGATTAAAATCAACTGTTAATTAATCTAAAAAAAAACCAACGCATTACAACATTAGATAAGGATGTAAATTAAGCTGATCCTTAGTGAAATAGACTAGAAAAAGGCCTTACAAGAGAAGAATCTGCTGTTAAGTTCTGTCTGACTTCATCACTCAGGTTGTAGCCGGTGGCTGTGGTGTACAGATAACGAGCCAGTGTTGAGGACAAGTTCGTTATAAGTTCAGCCTGAGTGGTCACATAGTTGTACTTCATGGTCTCGTTAAGGCCACTGGGGTAATCCAGGGCATCAATCAGCTCTCCACTGTCCAGGTGACTGTTATAGAACCTGGGAAATAAAATGTTGTGGCATCGTCCAGAAAAGGTGTGATGGGCAATAATTGAAATGAATTGGTCTAGAAATGAATTGGTCTAGAAATGAATTGGTCTAGAAATGAATTGGTCTAGAAATGAATTAATATAGAAATAAATTGGTCCACAAAAGAGGTGACAAATAGTGAATGAAACTAATTAGTCCAAGTAATTCCCAATGGGGAGTTTAATTTTTTTTTAATCTTGTGTACTATTATTGAATTGTTATTATAAAATGTGCTTATTAGAATTATAACATTAGAGGGGAAAAAACTTTACGTTCCCTGCAAAAGAAGATTTCACTGATTGACCACAGGACAGTATCACTGACCACAGGAGGACAGTATCTCTGACCACAGGACAGTATCACTGACCACAGGACAGTACCACTGACCACAGGACAGTATCACTTACCACAGGACAGTACCACTGACCACAGGGCAGTACCACTGACCACAGGACAGTACCACTGACCACAGGACAGTACCACTGACCACAGGACAGTACCACTGACCACAGGACAGTATCACTGACCACAGGACAGTATCACTGACCACAGGACAGTATCACTGACCACAGGACAGTATCACTGACCACAGGACAGTACCACTGACCACAGGGCAGTACCACTGACCACAGGGCAGTATCACTGACCACAGGACAGTATCACTGACCACAGGACAGTATCACTGACCACAGGACAGTACCACTGACCACAGGACAGTACCACTTACTTGTTTTTGTACTCTTTACTGTGGTCAGTCAAGACGACCACTGGGATGTCTGATTTACGTTTCAGGAATCTCTGGGCAGAGGCTGGGGGCAGAGGCAGATCCTTATCTGCTTCACTCACACCAACATTTAACTCCTGGCCAAAATTCTGGAGCTGTTTTATCATTTTTGTAATCTGGGAGAGCAAAGAGCAAATCAAACATGTTTAAAAATGTAATACTGTTGTAAACAAATTTTTTTTCAGTATTGATGTCAGATGTTTATTCAAAACAATATAAATCAGTAATGCCCCTTGAACTGTTCACATGTACACACAACATAGAGTTGAGCTAATCACAGTAAAAGAAAATATCTCATAACAAAGGACTTAAGTATGGAAGCTGGATAGTCTAGCATGGGTTTATCTAGCCTACCTTGGTTCTAGACATATTAACCGAGCCTATTTTGGGACTAGACACCTCTATCCTAGCTTCGGTCTAAACTCCTCTATCCTAGAGTGGGTCTAAACTCCTCTAACCCAGCTTGGGCCCAGACACCTCTATCCTAGCTTGTCTACACTCTATCCTAGCTTGGGTCTAAACTCCTCTATCCTAGAGTGGGTCTAAACACTATCCTAGCTTGTCTAAACACCTCTATCCTAGCTTGGGTCTAAACACCTATACCCTAGCTTGGGTCTAAACACCTCTATCCTAGCTTGGACCCAGACACCTATATCTTAGCTTGAGTCTAAACACCTCTATCCTAGCTTGGGTCTAAACACCTCTATCCTAGAGTGGGTCTAAACACCTCTATCCTAGCTTGTCTAAACACCTCTATCCTAGCTTGGGGGTCTAGCCATCTATCATAGCTTGGGTCTAAACACCTCTATCCTTGGGCCTAGACACCTCTATCCTAGCTTAAGCCCAGACACCTGTGTCTACCCACAAGAAAACATTCACCTTATCCTCCAGTTTGGACCTGGAGAGAACATCAGTGTGTGCCCACAGGCTGCCACCATCACGGTAACCAACTTGGTTGATCTCCACTATCTGGTTGATGTGCTCTAGGGAGATGTTGCTGAGGTAGGTCTTGTCCTTGGACTCGGCCTGAGGGAAGACCCCTTGCTCCATGTCATAAACCACACGACTTGATCCAATGTAGTCAAAAGATTCCTAGAAATACAACTGACAGTTAACTTGGTGGTACAAGTTTCATTAGAGACTAACTAATTATCTAATTTAATTTACTCAGTAAACTGATGGAAAGGTGTCAGTTAACTTAGTGGTACAGGTTTCATTAGAGACTGACTAATTATCTGATTTAACTAACTCAGTGGAAAGATAATTAACTGGTGGAAGGGTGTCAGTTAACTTAGTGGTACAGGTATCATTAGAGACTAATTATCTGATATAATTAATTCAGGCAACTGGTGGAAAGGTCAATTAAAAATAGTGGCAGAGGCATTAAGAGATTAATTATCTGATTTAAATAATTCAGGCAACCAGAGAGGAGGGGTTAACATGGTTAAGTATCACCTTAGTAACTAAATGTCTGTTGGAAATGGTGCCACAGTAAACAAGGCTAATAATTGTATGTCTCATTAATTAATCAGTCAACTTTTAATGAACTTTCGTGTATTATTATTTTGCACTGTTTTTAAATCTATCTATATATTCAAATTTAATTTTGAACATGAAATTTTCATTGGTTTTTTTTTTATTTAAAAGCTTGCCAATTAAATAAAATCATTTGTATAAATAAATTTAAACTTTAACACAAAGCCCTTTCATCTATTTCCACTTGTAAAAGATTTGAACTTAGTTTCTTAACATAAGTGTTTGTGAAATTTTTTCTTTTAAATGATTGATTTAATCTAAAGCAGCAACCCAAAATTTAAGGAGTTCACAGAAACAAAAGCAGCACAAGAAACTTACCCCTTGAAAAAAGGTGAACATGATGTCTTTAGCATTTGTATTGTTTTCAATGTCATGTTTCATCTTCCATAAGGCCTCTATGGTAGACAGCATGGCCACTATCCCCACCACCGTAGTGTCGGCAGCGTAATACTCAAATTGGAAGAGGGACGCAGAGTCCAGCTGAAAGATAGTCAACTTTTTAAGTGGTAGCACCTAACAAATTGGGAAAGTTGGTCAACTTTTTAAATGGCTGCAACTAACAAATTGGAAGAGGGACGCAGAGTCCAGCTGAAAGTTGGTCAACTTTTTAAGTGGTAGCAACTAACAAATTGGGAAAGCTGGTCAACTTTTTAAGTCCAGCTGAAAATTGGTCAACTTTTTAAGTGGTAGCACCTAACAAATTGGGAAAATTGGTCAACTTTTTAAGTGATAGCACCTAACGAATTGGGAAAGTTGGTCAACTTTTTAAGTGGTAGCAACTAACAAATTGGGAAAGTTAGTCAACTTTTTAAGTGGTAGCAACCAACAAATTGGGAAAGCTAGTCAACTTATTAAGTGGCTGCAACCAACAAATTGAAAGAGGGACGCAAAGTCTAGCTGAAAGTTGGTCAACTTTTTAAGTGGCTGCAACTAACAAATTTACTTCTACTTCTACAGCGGCTTATGTTTACAGGGCATTTAAAGGGCCTGCTCAGCTCTAGTGTTTGACAGGCATTAGTTCAAATAAAACTTTAAGAAAACATTTTCACCAAAATTCTTCAAATAAAACTTAGAGAAAACAATTTCACTTAAATTCAAATAAGCCCATCTAGGCAATCATTTTAAATAAATTCATCAAATCAATTCTCTGAAAACTCATTTTACATAACTTTTTTAAACTTCAAATTTCTAGACAAATATTTCACATCATTTTCCATAATGTCCTTCAATCAGAGGTGCAAAAACACATTTTACATAAATTCTCGAGCCTCAAACATCTAGACAAGAATTTCACATAAATTCCTAAAACTCAAGCCACAAGACTTAACTCACCTTAGCAGCAACCATGATAACAGAATCAGGCTGCCTGGGTTCAGGGTGTACCAGGTGTTTCTTAACTCACCTTAGCAGCAACCATGATAACAAATCAGGCTGCCTGGGTCCAGGGTGGGCCACAGGTTTCTTAACTCACCTTAGCAGCAACCATGATAACAGAATCAGGCTGCCTGGATTCAGGGTGGGTCATGGGTTTCTTAACTCACCTTAGCGGCAACCATGATAACAGAATCAGGCTGCCTGGGTTCAGGGTGGGCCACAGGTTTCATGTTGACCACAACATTCTTGTCCCCCAGCTGGTCACAAAACACCTGCATCTCCGACAGACTGAGAACCACCCGGTCGGACCGGCGCAAGCAGGTCACAGAGTCAACAGCGGCTTCCATGCTGGACTTCATTTCCGCAGCGCAAACTGGATAACCTATAGTCTCGTTGATTGGCTGATTAAAGCGGTAAAAGCACTGAAACGAGAATAAGTTTAAATGTTAAACTTGTGATGCTCCATAAATATTTGCATACCTTTTATGTAGTTTAGGCAGTATTTTTTTTAATACCATGGTTTTTACTGTAAACAAACAACCTTGCTATTGTAATCAAGTAAATAGATACCACACTGAGGTATATTCAAATAATTGTATAAAAATATTGAATTGATTTTAAACCATCTATATGTATATAATTCTCTTCATAGAGACATTAGAAAACACCACCCAGCTTACCCACCACCCTCATCCCCACCTGTCAGGTGAGCTGTGGTTCAGCCCGAATGTTTACAATTGTAGAGCCGGGTTAGTGACGGCTATTAGGGGCAGATAATTTAGTATTAAACTATTTGAAACGAAGGGGATGTAACAATTTCTGATTGATCTTTTCTTTGTCTGTAAATGTAAATGGCTGCTTTCACTAGACGGGAGGGGGGGGGGGGGGGGGAAGGGAGGGTGGGAGGGGGTAGTGTTGAATTTACAAATTATGAATTGCTGATAAGCAGAAAATAAAACAACTAGATGGTGGCGTATACTATGTCGCGTTCAGCTCGTTTAAAATATTTTAACTATTACAAGAAAAATACAGTGACTGCTATAGGGATTAAATAGTGTAAACCTAAAGAAAAACATGTAAACAACACAGCAATCAACAATTGTAACTCCCTAAAAATTTACTTACATGTGAACATTTTTTCACACCCCATCTAAAAAAAAATGTCCATCCAGCAAAACTGTGCCTGCTGACTGTTATGAGAGTAGTCTTTGTTTGGGTACGAGAGTATTTACATTGTGGAAGTATAGGGTAGATAAGACTAAAAAATGTGAGATGTTTTGTGGAAAAAAAGAAGGAAGGGCTATGCAAGTTTTAGCTAGTCTTCATCTTGTTGTGGTAGAGTGTCATTTGGTCATCTAGGCCATGTGGGTACAAGAAATGTCCATTTTGTAATAAAGTCTTGTCTAGGTCGTACACCTGAAAGTTGTTCAGAAGGTAAGAAGTATTGTTTGGGTTGTTGATAGGAAAGTAGTTGTTGTATGTGTTTCATGCATCGATGTTTACATTTTATCTGGTATGAGCTGACCCCCGGCGTATTATACGCCGCAATTTAGTTGTTTTTTTCTACTTTTCAGTACTTCATAGTTAGTGAATTCAACACTACCCTCCATTCAACCCCACCACCCCCCCCCCCCCCCCCACGTAAGCAGCCTAGAGAGTGCGGTAGTAGCGGCATGCGTTTACGTGGTGTCTCGCATAGTCCCCATGAAGAGAATTATATATTTAGATGTGAGTTGAAGAGAATCCACATTGGATTATTCAAACTATTAAACAAGCAATGTAACAAAAGGACTTGATGTTAATCATTTACAGGTAACTGTGATGTAGATTATAAGATGTTCTGGTGGTGGAAGATTAATTAACAACTCAACACAGGAAGTGGTAGAAAGATAAGACCTGTCTCAGTGCTGACTTGTATAAGATCCATGCCACTCACCTGATTTAAGACAGCGTCCACATCACTGGGATCAGACAGGGCAAAGACTGGCAGACCAATGTCTGAGAAATGAAGGGATGTGCCTGCTTTGTTCCACTCCACCTTCTTGCAGCCCTGGTAGTCAGGATTGTCACTGTACAAACCTAAAATAAGAAATCAATCTTATACACGTTTGTTTTTCGTATTAGCTATATACACACATTTTGCTCATATCATCTAGATACAGTTTTTATATTAGCTATATTCACACTTTTACTTCATAATCTTTACAGTCTGCAACACAAACTTTTTATTAAACATCTTTTTTTCTACCCGCCCTTACAATACAAGGAGGCGGCCTGGCCTATCAGTAGAGCATTAGACTGCTAACCTAATAGTCTTGAGTTTGAATCCAGGTTCTAGTCAGTAGGACATCACTGAGTCCACCAGCTCTTATGGGTACTTAACTCACGTGAGGGAAAGTAATGGCACCTAGGCATAGTGCTGACCAAAATATTTCTTCATATGCCAAGGTCACAGAAACAGGTGAACTCTAATTCACTTGCCCCATGGACCGTCAGGTTTGAAAAGGGAACTTTTACACTATAAATATTGAACTGCTGCAAAATATCTTATTTTGTTAACATTTTGTTAACATTAAAATAAATGACTTACCATATCTATCGTTAGGACATTTGTCAACTTACCATATCTATCATTAGGACATTTGTCAACTCACCATATCTATCATTAGGACATTTGTCAACTCACCATATCTATCATTAGGACATTTGTCAACAGAAGAGAATCCTTCAGCAGGGTAAATAGCTTGACTGTCGTTACGTGTGTTGATCACCATAATGCCATTGACGCGCCCTGAGGTGTAGAGGCGTTTGATGTTTTCCCTGTTGAAAATTTCAAATAATTTTATTTGCCCATTGTTGATTGTCATGTGAAATGATTAAAGTGTAAGAACAATGAGACCTTTTGGTCAACAAAGCAGATCAGGTAAAACTGTCTTGACAAAGATGTGAAATTTTACATTTAGTCAGCGGACTAGAGATTGTCTGATGGGCTAGAGACAGGGGAAATATGATTTGAGACTTTCATACTTATGACTATAGAATTTTATATCATCTACCAAACATACAGTTTAACTGACACTGAACCTTTGATACCATATGGTTAACAGTGATCCTTTGATACCATAATTTTAACTAATACTGAACCTGTGATACCATAGGTTTCTTCTTCTCTTTTCTTCTTCGTTCTTAATTATTAGTGTTGAAGGGGATTGAGATTTATCTGCCAGTGGGTTTGAACTCGAGACTTTGTTCAAATTTATCAACCATGAGCTTTTTGCCGACTCGACCACGCCTCCAACACAATTAAGCGTTACGTGTCAACTGGTTATGCGCCATTGAGGCCATTGACTCCGATTTCAGCCTGCTTTTCTTTTTGGATTTGCTTCCATAGCCTTTGTCCAACCAAGAACAAACTACAAGGCAGCAGTTGTTTAATTTTGGAGTTGTCTCTCCTAGAAGAGTGGCTGTCCCCAGCTAATGAGCCTCATCTGCCCGAGGGCCATGAGCTTTACTGACTCGACCACGCCGACCCCTACATACAGTTTAACTGACAAGGAACATTTGATACCATATGGTTAACAGTGATACTTTGATACCATAATTTTAACTAATACTGAACCTGTGATACCATAGGTTTAACTGACACAGAACCTGTGATACCATAGGTTTAACAACCACTGAACCTTTGATACCATAGGTTTAACAACCACTGAACCTTTGATATCATAGGTTTAACTGACACTGAACCTTTGATACTATAGATTTAACAACCACAGAACCTTTGATACCATAGGTTTAACTGACAATGAACCTTTGATACCATAGGTTTAACTGACACTGAACCTTTAATGCTATAGGTTTAACTGACACCGAACCTTTGATACCATAGGTTTAACTGACACTGAACCTGTGATACCATAGGTTTAACTGACACTGAACCTTTGATACCATAGGTTTAACAACCACTGAACCTTTGATACCATAGGTTTAACTGACACTGAGCCTTTGATATCATAGGTTTAACTGACACTGAACCTTTGATACTATAGATTTAACAACCACAGAACCTTTGATACCATAGGTTTAACTGACAATGAACCTTTGATACCATAGGTTTAACTGACACTGAACCTGTGATACCATAGGTTTAACTGACTCTGAACCTGTGATACCATAGGTTTAACTTATACATGGACCATCTATTTATAACTCACCCAGTAAAATCCACAGAGTTCAACAAAGCAACATAAGGTGCATGCTGACCTTTTGACAATATCCAAGCAAAATCCTCCTTGGATTGGATGTAATGGATTGTTCCCACATTGCCTCTCCAATTAGCTGAGGAATTATGGAGAAAGATGGCCATAAAAACCACAAATGAACAAAAGTAATTATATTTTTAATTTGATTAAGGACTGTTCCCATATTAACTCTATAATGAGCTGAGAAAAAAATATAAAAGATTGATTCAACAACAATAGTTGATTAAAAAAAAGTTTGAAATGTAAAACAAAGGAGTGTTGCAGCAATTTTAATTAGTTAGGAGGAAAATTGATTTACATTATTAAAACAATCATTTATACACCTCTTCATTAATCTAGAGCAAAAATAATCTCCTCAGCTGCCCTTTTTAAGCATTTGAGTTATTAACAACATGTAATTAATACATTGGTACTAAAAAAAAGAGAAAAGTTTGTTTAGGTATAATAATTGACTATAATTTACGTTCCTATAACAAGCTCTATTTAAGCTCTATTTAAGATTTCATGAGTAACCAATGCTATTATTTATCTCTAGCTAAGTATTCATTCCTAGCAGACTCATAAAGCTGTGGACCCCCCCCCCCCCCCCCAACACACACTTTTAAACTATTTCAATCACTGATATTAAAAAGTGTATAACATATTACTAAATAGAACACAAAAAACTAAGTTTAAACATCTTCATCATCCAGTGTTTTAAACTATTAGCTTGAAATATACAAATATATGATAGCACTTACATGTGCATCCAACTTGGTGAGTGGCATTTAAGTTCCTAAAACAGGCACTCTGAGTCTTGAGATTGATGTAGATTTTCTTGTTTGTCCTCTTGCTCCACACTATGACATACAAACAATTCACAGGTGAGTTATCATGTAAAGTAAATCTTTATACATGTCAATACATGCAACAATCTTTTATAAAATGTTTACAAATTACTGCTGCTGTCCTACCCATCAAAATATTAGTGTAATTATAAAAACACTCAAGGGGTGAATGGCTCTACTGTAGCTAATCAAATTAGAAGGTTTTTATGTAAAAATGTTTCTGGCTTAAAAGGGAAAAGTAGTGCAGTAAAGTACCCTAGCAGACCTGAGAGTACATATTGGACAAAAGAAGTACAATTCAACTTTTTATTTAACTTTTTCTCTAACCTAACACATGAACGAGTAGGGTGATCAGCACTGTGTGCAACTAACTTAACTTTTGATGAGACAGAATTATTTAGCATAGAAAAGACAATTAACTCCAATGTCTAGAGTTTGGTTGATGAGCTAAAACCTTCGAGTGCCTCAAATCCACCCAGCTCTGGGGAGTACTTGAGTCAAGAGTAGGGAAAGTAAAATAAAAAATTTCTTTAAACAAAAATTTATATTTAATTTTTAAAGTATTGTGCATATAGCAAAATTTGTTTAGAATATTTTTAGACTCATCTCTATCACATATTGAGTTATTCTAGAACACACCCCCTCCCCCCCATGCACATAAACTACAATACAAAACAACTGCTTAAGTTACAAATACTTCATTACAGTAGTCAAACTTTGTCTTCGCTAGTTAATACATAAATGAGAAGAAATATCTTAGAAAATTTAAGACTAGCGATGTTTTCATCAGATGCAACCAAGCTCATTTACTTTAGCAGCCATCTTGTTTCAGTTTTTTTGGTAAACTTATAGTGGGAGATTCAGGGGAAGCCACTCTATTTTACAGAAGGCTACTGCTTATATAGCAAATCTTGCTTGCAAACACTGCCGTTTAAAGTTAATTTCTGGCCTATATTGATATACTTAGCCATTGATTTTGGTTTATGAAGGGACTACTCGGAAAAAGATTTTTCGCCCCAACGTCTCCACCTGGTCGGCAAAAGACAGTTCTGCGCATGCGCATTGACCTATGGCTAGGGTTAGCGCTAGGATTAGGGATATGGATAGTTTCCCTCCTTGGCGTATGCATATCTTTTTCCAGCTAGAATATAGGTAATCTATCGTTTTATGTGCGTAAAATTGGCCGAGGTAAGTAAAATGCGAAAAAGTTGCCTCATGGTTTAGGCTTTAATAGAAGTATGTTGTGATATATTTTTGTCAAATATTATAGATAACTGAATAATAAACCAAAATCAATGGATAAATATATCAATAGGGCCTATAGGTAAGAAATTAACTTTAAACAGTACATTTGCTATGTAAAAGCAGTCAACTGTAGTTAGAGTGGTTTCCCCTGAATCTCTAACTAATTTTATCAACAAAATAAAAACTTAAACAAAATGGCTGCTATAGTAAACGAGCTTGGTAGAATCTGATGAAAACATCGCTAGTTTTTATTTTATACTAAACGTTTTAATACAATTGTTTAAAAACAGGTACATTAATGAAACTTTTAAACATTGTTATAACTTTCAAAACATAAATCCTGCTAAAAAATGTGAAGTAATTACTAAAATTTAGCCTAATGAGTCACCTTTTTTTCACATTACTAGTCTGGGACGATTTTACGTACCTAAAACAATAGATTACCCAAATATATCACAATGTACTTCTATTAAAGCCTTAACAATAGCGTGTATTACGGCATCGTAATTTCTAAGGGCAACCATTTTGGAAATGGCGCTGACTTCCCTTTTCGCTTTTTGTCCCAGGCTTCCGTCACCGCCGCGCGTGAGTCTAAAAATAGACTAACGGCTTGTTCCAACCGGCATTTCGTTGACGCTCTCTGCCTTTCGGGTTTACTTGACATATTGGAAAATTTTTTGGCGGACGATATTTATTAATTTAGTTTTTCTTTCTTCGGAATATTGCTGTCAAAAATAGAGGTAATTTCATCATTTTTTTTCTATTTGAATTAGATTCCAGTTCTTTTTAAAATTTTGGTAGTTCGACAGAGTTTTGCAAATTTTCTTTAAATTAAGTCTGAAAACGGCTAATTTCCCACCAACAAGTCGTTTAAATGTACCTGCAAAGTCTGAATCGATAGCTTTGTAGCCGCCATTATTTTAAAAAGATTTTAAAAATATTGTATATTTAATAAGTTGGTAAAATCTTAGTTTAGCGTCGTAAATTCGGCCAAAACTAGTAATGTAGGAGAGAGTGCATTAATGAATATGTCATTAAATATGAGTATATTTTCGTATATTTTGATAAAATATTATAAATAATTGAATAATAGATCACCATTTATGGTTAAATCAATTTAAATATCCCGAAATTAATTTTTATCAACCCTGTTCGAGATAGTAAATTTGCTATTAAAAACAGCAGCCATCTTAAGAAAATGTTATTTAGAGTAGCTTCCCTTTCATTTCTATTCGTATGAAAATGTATTTAAATATGATTGTCTTGTTGTATAGTCCGTATTACAAAGCATTTTTTTTTAATTCTGCTCTTTAAAAACTGAATTTCCTAACAAACAACTTTATTAATTCTAGAAGCATTGTGAGATGCAGCTTGTATCCATGTTTTAAATCATGTTTTTTTTTTTACAAATGTTTATTTGATCTTACTATTACTAGACTCTTTCTATATAGTTTGCGTTTTTTCTTATTATTCGAATGTTCACTATTTTTATTTCAGGTTTTTCTTTTCATCAATTAGTGATTCTATCGTAACTTATGACATTTTTTACTTCTCTTTACCTTAATTAAACCCCAACCTCCGTCATATTTTTGTTGTCAATGTCACAACAAGTCATAAGGGGTCATCCATAAATGACGTCACACTCGTAGGGGGGAGGGGGTTCGGTAATTTTGTGACGATGTGTGATGAGGGGGAGGGGGGGGGGGGGGGGGGGGGGGAGTTTTCAGATGTTGCGACGTCACATGTTTGCATTATAAAAAAGCAATGTTAGAAAACTAATTTTAGACGTTATTTCGCGTTTTAGATAACTGTTTTAATAAATTGTAATAGTTTAGACAAGATTTTGGAAAAAAATATCGATGTTTTAAAAAAATTCAACTGCAATTTTGAGGGGGGTTGTAGGTTGAGGTGTGACGTCATTTTAGGGGGGGGTCTGGCTTTTTGTGAAGACGTGTGACGGAGGGGAGGGGGGAAGGTAAAAATCGTCAAAAAAGCGTGACGTCATTTATGGATGACCCCAATGAAAAAATTACGCTTCGCTCTGCCTTATCTAAGATCTCTAGCCTTAATTTTGACAACAATAAATGTTTGTCATCATTTATATATACAGAGAGACAAAATGTATTATCCACCAGCTTCCCTCGTAAAACATCACCTAAAATAATCAGCCACTCCACTCCTTAAGTGCGTGTTGTCATTATGGTCGATCGCAAGTCTCCACCCGCCAGACACATTTTGGTTATCCTTTGTTGTCAAAATGTCAACATCAAGTACCCAAGTGAGTGATATGGGGTTGTCCATAAATGATGTCACATATGATTTGCTACGGGAGTGAGTGAAGATTTGTGACGTCAACTCAGGCGGCTCCGCAATTTATGACGTGTCGGTCTCATGGAAGGAGGTGAACGGGGAAAAATACCTAGGTGGTTGATGGAGAACCTCTATAATGCTTTGTTCAATCAAAATAACGATAAATAAGCATTAGTATACGTATACCTTGCTTAAAACGAATCATCACAAATGTTGCAAGCCTGCTAGTTTAAGACATTTGGCAAAACGGCCTTAACTTAACTCATTATCCCCGTCAAAAAGGCTTGCCACCAAATGCCTGCCGACGAATAAGCCGCGTCTAATGCGGGGCGTTAGGAATACGGTCATTAGCATGGGCCGCATTAGAGCACCAGTAGGCTATCGCGCTTTGTAAGATGACGTAAATACTTAAATTCAATTTCGCTAAACTGCGCGAAAATTTAGTAATATTCCATCGTTTGAGGACATTTATTTTCTTGGACTTAAATTGAAATATCATGTTGACTGTCTGGCTCTTAATTTCCGAATATCACTTTTAATGTATCAAGATTCAGAACTATAATTTACTTTAATATAAGTGTCTTTTTATCGTTTAGTGTGCTTTTTATAAAGCGCAGAGCAGCTTCAAAATCGGACGGCCATCATGTTTTCAACAAGCTTCTTTTGGAGCTTAATATGGGTAGTCTAGTTCTATACGGTGAGAGCTTAATACCTTTTTAAAGGGCCGAATGTCTCAAGACAGCAAGCTTGCAGAAATAACTAGGACGTTTAAATGGACGAGTGATAGGTGTGTTAGGGGCTGTTTAATGAACATCAACTTATGTAATCAAATTAAACGTCGCATAAGCCTCAAAAAGGCAGTGCTTGTTGTTTTTTTTTAAATATAAAATTAGCCTAACGGTCGGCGGGTACCGGTACATGACGTCACGTGCGAGCGTTAACTCGGTGACGATGTACTAAGTGGGGGAAGAAAAAGGTGGGGTTCAAGAAATGCGACTCAGCAAGCTTTTTACATTTCTTGACCCTTCTTAATAGTTCTATCGTTCCCACTGAGAAAATGGATCACCAATGAATGACGCGTCATACTTCTACAGCTGGTCTTTCTCCCACAACCATCCCCTGTTTTCACGAGAAAAAAAAAACCTGACCCGTCTCCAAAATCACATCGCTGAGTTCTACTCAACCTCTCCCCACCACAAATCACAATTTCTATCTGAAACAATATGTTCATATGTTTGTTCTGTAATAATGCACGCTGTCATTACTATCTTAAGAGCGACGTCATTCATGAGCGATCTCATATTGATTTGATTACTGCAAATAAAGTGTTCAAAAGTTCGACCTCCCAACAATTGTTGTGGTCTTGGATGCACACTATTAAGTCTGAAAAGGTCTATTAGTCATTAACCATGTCAACTATATTGAAAAAGAAAAAATTACTATACAGGGGGGTCATCCATAAATGACGTCACGCTTTTTTGGACGATTTTTACCTCCCCCCTCCCCTCCATCACACGTCGTCACAAAAAGCCAGACCCCCCCCCTAAAATGACGTCACACCTCAGCCTACAACCTCCCTAAAATTGCAGTTGAATTTTTTTTAAACAGCTATATTTTTCCCAAAATCTTGTCTGAACTCTGTCAAAATAGAGTATTTTAATCAATTGTTACTACAATGTATTAAAACAGTTTTCTAAAACGCAAAATAACGTCTAAAATTCGTTTTCTAACATTGCTTTTTTATAATGCAAAAGTGTGACGTGGCACCATCTGAACCCCCCCCCCCTCCCTCCTCCTCATCACACACCGTCACAAAATTACGGACCCCCCTTCCCCCCTACGAGTGTGAAGTCATTTATTGGCGACCCCCAGGCATATATTAAAACAATACAAAACAATCATATTAAACCACAAAATCAACACAAAAGACATGCGAATAGACTATTTTTCAAGGGAAACTACTCTATTATTGTTTTTGAAACATGGCCGCTGCTTGTATTTACTCATTGTTGTCTCGAACGGGGTAGTTTAAAGTTTATTCCAGGATATTTATGACTGGTTTGGTCTTGGATTGTGATTTGTTATTCAATTATCTGTTATATTATGTAAAATATGACATAAATATGGCCAAATGAAAGAAATATTCATTAGTTACCTTCATCACTCATTACTAGCTACGTTGGAATTTACGACGCTAAACTAAGATTTTACCAATAAGTTTTTTAAAAATAGCATTATTAAAAAAAACTATTTTACGAAAAAAAGTAATAAGGTTTAATAGTGTCATTAGGTAGATTTAGATCTAGAATCTAGATCTAGCTAGACTAGACCTAGAATTTCTAGATCTAGATTATTATTTATATCATCTAGATCTAGATCTAGTCTAGATCTAGAAATCTAAATCCAGATCTACTCTAGAGATCTAGAGATTCTATCATTCTAATCTAGATCTAGAGTCTAGTCTAGATTCTTAGAATTAGATCTAGATTAGATCCAGATGATCGTCAAGCTAGACTCTAGACTAGATCACTACGAGAGGCTAGATCACTAGATCTAGATTCTAGATCAATTTAATTTGAATTTATGAAACCTAGAAATAGAATCTCTAGATTTAATAATAGATCTAGATTCTAGATGATGTAGATTCTTTATTCTATACATATTCTATCCTATAGTATAGTACAATTAAGTATAAGCCTAATCTAAATTATTTTAGAAGATCTAGATCTCTATTAAAAAATTAATCTAATTTTCTAGATATAGACTCTAGATTCTAGAATCTCTAATCTACTTTTTTTTTTCAGTCTGTGGTCTTGCAGTGCTTTGATAGAAATCTGAGTGAGAAATCATTCAGCCATCGGAATCACGGTTAGTCTTTCTGATAAGTGACAGTACTTTAAGTGATCATAATTATTTACCTAATTATTAATTATAGACTACTTTTAATTATAGATATACCTATTTAGTGTTAAGTAATTAAATCTAGATCTAGTTCTAACTTACCTCTACTCTAAACTCTAAACAATAGTAACTTTTTACTAGACTCACAATTTTAAAAACAAACGGTTTTTTTTTTTGTGTGAAATAAACCTAATAGGCCTAGTCTATTTATTTTAAAATAAACCTTATGCCTAGATATCTATATCTAAATTTTCCAAATGCATTTTCAGAAGTTCGAATGAGGAGATGGAGATGGCTGGGCCATGTCCTACGCAAGAGCAAAAGATGACTCCCCCAACATGGCACTGGAAAACGAAAGAGGGGAAGACCACTGGGAACATGGAGGAGAGAGATGGAAGAAGAAGTGCAAGCTGCTGGCAAGACTTGGCATGAACTAAAGTGGCTCGCCCAGGACAGAGTGGAATGGCAGGGATTTGTTGCTGCCCTATACTCCACAGGGAGTGATGAGGATTAAGTAAGTAATTTGTAATAGACTACTAATGTAACAGACTTTTTTCTAACACTAATTGTTTATTTTAGTATACTAAGTCATGACTTGATTCATCAACTTACAGCTATAAAATACAGTTGCACAGAACTTCCTTTATAATTCATATTTTTCTACAATAAGTAAACTAAGAAAAGATACTAAATCATTGCAGAGAAAGCAGACACAGATCCAGTGTTGGAAGAGGAAGTATGTTACATAAAAGAAAAAAAAACAACAGATGTCAAAGCAGGTGTTGGCTGGTGCAGAAACAGCATGAAAGGGTAAGTTATTGATGATTTCAAACATAAAATATGCTAAATTGCAGGTTAAGTTTCAAAGAACAACTGGACATCTTCAGCAAGAGAATTGAGAACCAAGATTGATAGTGTTAAATGGGAGATGGATTTGCTGACAATGACAGAGTATTGAAGGAGATAGATGATGCTTTAAGAGGAGAAAGGGTCAAGATCTCAGTAAAGAATGACATTGTTCATGCAGAGAATCTCAAACTGATTGAGGAGTTTGACAGGGTCATCGACACAAAACCAGTTACAGCACAAAATAGACACAGACATTCAATCTCGAATAAAGCAGATGAAGAAAAAGTTGGAAGCTATGGAACGCAGAGATACTGAAAATTCCATCTATGATGTGTTGTCTGGATCGAATGTCTCAGTAAACCATCCCCTATTTTGTGGTGTTGACAGAAGCGGAAACCCTCTTTGTCAAGAATAGTGGGTGGTAAAGACCTGGTTGTTGTCCAGCTGACTGACAAGTGGGAGCTAGATGATCAGAAAGTGCATCGCTATTATGTGAGGATTATTAACAGAGTACTAGCTAAAAAGAACAAGTCTGTTGTCTACACTGTATGCTACTGGGCACCGGATGAGGATGAAGCTGAGGACTTTTGCCTACCTGCTGAATCACTAATAGCTGACTAGATTAGTAGTGATCTCTGCTTTACATCCTAATCTGCTGTTAATCCTTGGACAGCATGATTATTAAAAATTTGAGCTTTAAAAAATAATTAATGTTTTATTTTAAATTTGCTTTGTTCCTTTGTTATATATTTTTATGTTTACAGTTACATGCAATGATTGCAATATTTATGTCTTTACAATATGTATATAATTTCTATTTTTTCAAAAGTGCGCTAAATTTTTTGTTAAAAAATAAAGGTTGGTATGTAATGACATGGTATTATGTTTTTAATCTTTTTTTTTTTATATTTTACTTATGGTATTCTAATTTGATACACAGTATAGTGTAAACAAATCAAATAACTTTTTTTTTTCTTTGCAGATTTTTGTATCTTTCCTGGACTGATGACTTTCATTCAACCTGATCATTTTTTAATTTGCATCAACTAAAACTTGTTATATAAATCACTTTGTTGTACTCACACCTTAAACTTAAACCCATTATTACTTTGTTCTTTTCATTGATAATTGAAATTTATATGATTGCATCTAAATCTAATAAATAAATATTTTTTGGAAAGCAAACCATTTTGGTTCTTTTTATTTTTATCTTTTGTTTTAATTTGAAACCAGGTCTTGTATAAGAAATTATACTGGTGGATCTGTCAGAGTAACACCATGTTTGCACTTACCACATGAATACTATACATGTCTAGAAAAAAACAACTTGCAATGAGTAAGCCTTCATATACATGTTCTGATAAAATAAGCTTATGCTGAAGTTTTTTCTCTAGACTTGCGCAATTCACAGTGCAACAACAGTTATTGGAAGTAAGCAGTCAATAAATAAATATATTTATTAGACACCAAATTACATATTAAATATTTAGAATGAATAAATAATCATAGTGAGAGATAATGGTTCCATTAATTAGTATCACTAGCTTAACTGATGAATTTTTATAACTTACTATAATGTGTTCAAGCAAGGTTAATAATATTGATAATCTATAGGCCTAACTATAAGAAGCAGCTGAATACCTTAGTAGAGGGCCTATATAAACTATATTATAACATTTTCACTATTTTAGACAATGGTATTGGTATGAAATTGTTGGTCATGTAGGGCCTTACACAAATGTTAAAATCTAATAATAATAAAAAAATATTTTGCTACTACTACATGGTGGTTGTAATTCAAGTTTTCAGTAGGCCTATGCCTAATAATTTATTCAAATATTAATAGGCCTAGTTGTGTATAGTAAATATAATTTTGATAAGTCTAACTCATAATAAAATACTACATTAACAATTTATAGTAAAATGACGAAAAGTCCGAAAATATAATTTGACGCGTATGACGTCATCAAGTTGTGTACTACCAATATCGGAGACACTTTTTTTTTTAATGTAAGAGGAAAAATAATGGTGGCAGGTTAATCCAAATTTTTTATAAACACAAAAATTTTAAAATCGAAATAGGCTAAATAAACTTTTGCTAGACACACACAGAGTATAAAAAGTAGTTTCAGTAAAAAATTACGCGTCGATCGGTATCTTTTCCTCCCGAAAATAACGAATTTTTCAATTTTCGAAATACACGCTATTAACAATGAGGCAACTTTTTCGCACATTACTAGCCTCGGCCAATTTTACGCACCTAAAAAAAAACAATAGATTAGCTAGCACTTAGCGACTTAGCAGCCTACACTACCTAATACCTAATAATTTACTAATTTTTTTATTAGGCCGCTGCTGAAGTTTGACCCTAATTATTTTTAGCTCAGGCTAGAAAATTACGCTGTGTAGTTAAAATATAGATTCTAGACAAAGTATAAAATTTCATTGATGATTTTTACCTGTTGTCAAATGAAAACTGAGAAATGTAATACAAATGAAGAAAAAGTATTGTTTCTTCCTTGAGTCGGCCATTTTCTTGTAAGTATTTTAAAAATCTAACCGGAAAAAATATAAACAATAAACATTAGTTTAAAATGTAAAACAAATGTAGACTTTGGTAAACGTTTCACGTGATGTGTCAGCTTAAACGTTTATTACTTTATTCCATTTTTAAAACATTTTTTTAACAAATTACTTTCATTTTGTTTTGTTTAAAAAAGAAAAAGAAACAAGGGCTGGGAATTCCCGATTTTATTTATAGGTTGGGAATTCTCAAATGTTTATTTTTATATCATTGCTTTTATAAATAGACAGTTCAACTGCGTACTTTATAGGCTTGTTGTAACGGGAAAGGCCTGGTATATCTACATGGCATTGATTCAATGCATCTTTTCCCGTTGCTTTACATAGAATCTGGATCTATATATCTAGATTCGTTTTTACCTACATCTACATTTCTCACACGTAATTTAGTAATCATTCCAGGATTTTAAGTGGTAGGTTAGGCCTATATACTAATATAGTTATATATTATAATATATTATATAATATAAGTTATGTATATTTCTTCTTATTTTTTGGGATTATTTTTGTAATGCCTGTTTTATAGTCGCTTAGCTTAGGCCGGCTTAGGCTCAATTATTAAAATTAATACTACTTAGGCCTATACTATAGATAATAGTATAGTCTTAATAGCAGTAATTAATAATTAATTCCTCTGGGTAACTCTAGGGCCTAGATCTATTTACTATTTATATTTGTTTGAAATTAAAAGACTGAGGTAAAACTTATTTAATTTTCTATGTTGAATTTTGTTTAAAATTTATAGGCTTTTTACAAAATTAACTTTAAAAAAAAATTAACTACAGTTTTAAAAAATGTGTAAAATGTGGATTTCTAGATCTAATGTATTAATTTATTCATGTCCCGGGTGTGTGTCTATATCACTCATCATTTCTACTAGAAATTTTCTAGGCATACTCATACTGGCTATTACAATTCTAGAGTTGATGAGTAGGCCTATCAAATAGATCTAGAATCTAGGTCTTTCTTTTATTATGTCACTAACTTAACTAACTAGATTACTAGATCTATAGCCAAAATTAATTTCTATAATAAAATATAGATCTAGTTTAATATAGTAGACTTATTTAATATTTGGCATAGATCTAGTATTATTTATCAATCTATCTTATAATAATTAATTAAAACATCATCAGAGTTTGTTCCCTTTGGCTTAATTTTAAATTTAAAACTGGGGATTATCGTCTTTGTTCAAGGGTCTGTTTGGTTGTACTATAGGCCTACAAATAACAACAGTCTTCTTGGTTGGACTAGGCCGACCAGCCTAATGGCATTCTTCGTGTAAACAATCTAAAGTTAATTGACTTGTCATTTAAACTAGACATTTCCTTCAGCGACTTCCTGTACCTAGTTTATCATGTAACTTCAAACCAACGGAGCACTGTAAAAACAAAAAGTAGATCTAGAATAAATCTTTTTTTTAAAAAAGGGTGCGGTAACTCTAGATCTAGTGAGTTAGATCTAGAATCTAGATCTAGTTGGCTCCTGACTCTTTTATACTAGTATAGAATCTAGATAGTCTAGATTTACATCGTCATTACCTAGATCTAGATTATCTAGATTCCAGATAATCTAGATTCTACATATTACTACATAAATTTCATGAATTTTAAACTTTTTTGAGCGCTAATAAGTAATAAGTGAAAATAGTGAAATGCAAGTTTGTTTATTTTCAAAAATATGGATCTAATTTAATTAGGCCTATTAATTAAATATTCTAATTAGGCCAAACTAAATTTTTAAAATAGACCTAGATCTAGAATTTAGATCCTATAATTTTAAATTTTTAATACATAGACTCTCTATGATTAATAATAATAATTTTAACAAGATGATATTGAATTGATAGAAGAATAAATAGATTGCGTCATAACGGTCATAGTGACATAAATTATGATAAATAGCCTAACTAAGCATAGGCTATCGTCATGTTATTTTAAAACTAGATTCTACTGCAAATACACTAGATTTCTACTACGTCTAGTTTATCTAGATCTAGTTCTATTAAACATGTTAAGTTAAAGTGTTAAAGCATGGACTGTTTTAAAATAATTTAAAACTGGTTCGCAAGAGTTTTTTTTTTTTTTTTTTTTGCTTTAGTTTAGGCCTAAAAAGAAAGTAGATCTGGCAGCACTAGTTCTAGATCTAGTAGTAAGTTGGCTTAGCCTAAAACCAGACCAGCTGTTTGTACTTGAATTGCCGGTTGGCCTACTATTATAAGTTAGCTATGAATTTAGCCTAGCCTAGCTCACTAGCTACATTATTTAGCCTAAATATTTCTGTTTTTATAAAGCTATGCAGCGGGCTAATTAAATCTTTAATGTTGATGTGATTATTACTGAGAGCTATGTTGATCTCTCATTAAGTAATGAAGCGTACTAATAAGGGTCGGGATGTTCAGTATCATACTACTATCATTACATTGAATGAATGTTATTGCTGCTGATTAGGCTAGCAAGTAATTCAAATGAGTTAGTTAACTCTACTAAACTTCCTAACTATAAATATTAAATAAAGGAATTCTACTATTAGGCCTATGGCCTAACTATTACTTAATTATATATAGTATTAAATAGATCTATATAGGCCTGTAGTATATTGTTGTAGTGTCAGACTAGTTAGTAGATCTGTACTGTTAGTATTAAATTTAGAATTCACTGCCTATTTCTTGTAGGCCTACTATACTACTATAGGCCTATTTATTATTTTATTTAGGCCTACTAGTCTAGATTACTAAGATTAGTACCAGGCTCTGCATTAAATTACATAATACTCTGGCCTATAGTTATGTTAACCTAGTTAAAATATTTACTATTGTATTGTTGGTATAGACTATAGGGGCACCCATTAATGTCACTTTTTAAAAAAAAAATTTGATGATTAATTCCCCACTGTTGCACATCATCACAAGCAGCCACCCCCCCCCCCTAAATTGACATCTCAGCCTACAACCCCTCCCCTTTCTCAAAATTTCAGTTTTTGGTATAGCAAAAAAAGCTGCTAAAATTCAGCTTTTAACATTACTTTTTAAAAATGTAATAGTGTGTATTCACAGTTTTTAACCCCCCCCCCCCTCATCACACATCACACAAAAAAACCCAACCCCCACCCCCTTTCCCTAGGATTGTAACATTATTTATGGAAACCCCTATGTTGGAATGTTATAACGACTGACAATTTTCCCTTCAGTTATTCAAATCTTACATACAATCCGGGTCTTTTCCCCACACCACAAAGATCTACACGCGCCACAAAGATCTAGTAAAAAAAGATCATTAAAACTTGTCTTTACTTCACTAGTAGAACTAGATCTAATATTCTATAAAATACAAAATATAAAACCAAACATTTTTTTATTTCAGTAAACAGACTTTTTAAATAAACTAGGCTACAGGAAGTATTTGATCATCCAAGAACAAAGTATTTGGATTCACTGTATGGCAGTAGTTTTATGTGAAGATTTTTTTAATTGACAGAAATCCTCTGCAGCCTTTAGACCCCACTGCTTTTTCAAGTATTCCTGGTATGTTACATTAGCATATTATAATACTAATACCTCCAAAGTCCCTCCTATAAACTCGTATTACTATTTTAAAAAAAAAGTAAAGTTCCCTTCTAAACCTGATGATCTACGGGACAAGTGAAGTAGAGTTCACTTGTTTCTGTGACCTCGGCATATGAAGGGATAGTGTGGTATGCACAATGCCCAGCCGTCTTTACTTACCCTAACTTATGTTAGGTACTCATCAGAGCAGGGTGGACTCAGGGACGGTCTACTGACTTGGACCCTGATTCGAACTCGAGACTTATGGGTTCACAGTCCAGGTCTCTACCGCTAGGCCACTCCATCCCATATTACTATTTAGGCTTCCTTTATGATAATTTTTTACAACAAATTTTTTTTCTGATTATAATTTGCAAGTATCCATACTTTAAAATCGTTGAGTAAAAAATGCAGTAGACTAAAGTCTAAAGAACCATTCAAAGCTTATGTTAATTGTACAGTTGATTGCCAATGATAGCAATATTGCTAACAATGTATTTTTTTCTACAGTAATACCAAGTTGTTGAAATGGCTGAAGATAATGTACAATACGGTAAGTAAACTTAAAACATTTTTTATAAATTTATTTTTTTACTTAGTATTTAAGGCAGATCAAGTGTATACACTTCACTTAACTAGGTCAGCACATTTCTTGCGTAGAGTAGAAAAAAAAATCAATTTTTTAATGAGGATCCAACAATCAAAATACCTGCAGCATAGCTCTTTTAGAAAGAAAAAACAACAAGATTAACCATAGTTTATCTGGCCAGTGCTAAACTAAAATATAGTCTGAATGGCTTAAGGGGAAATCAAGGTATGAGTTGGGCTTGAACCCATACTTGTTTGAGTTATAAACTTAAGAGTCCAGGACACTTATTTGTTTTTCTCTACTTCACTAAGCCATATCCACTTTTCTTGTTCATTCATGATACAAGTTATTGATTCATCTTTATGAAATGTATTTACCCTAAAACCCATTTTTTTTCTGGTTTTCAGAAGCTGCTCCTGATGTTGAAATCTTTTTGGAGCTGTGGAGTGGGGGCACCCACATTGACACAATTGAGGCTAACATCAATATAAGCAGGACTGTCAGAGAGGTACCCACAGTTTATTCCTTAATCTCAGTACATTGTGAACAGATAGCACAAATATAATAGACCATAAATCTAGGCTGATTCAGAGCTTTTTGTATGGTTGTGCTGAATGAGAATGCTTTTACACACAACTCATCTCTTGGGGAAATACCCACACTATATAATATCCCTTAATCTCAGTACTTTGTGAACACATAGCACAAATATAATAGACCATAAATCCTGACTCAGATTCAGGGCATTTTGTATGCTTGTGCTGAATGAGAATGCTTTTATACACAACTCATCTCTTGGGGAAATACCCACACTATACTCTATCCCTTATTCTCAATACATTGAAAACCATAATATACTGTAATAAATCCTGGATCTTATTCAGAGCATTTTGTATGATTGTGCTTATTGATTATTTATACAACTCATCACATGGGAAAGTAGGGGAGGACAGACGCTTTGTTCTTGAAAAAAGTAGGGGCTCTATGCAAACATTCTTTAGTGGTGGGTTGTATGATTGAAGGGTGCTAACTAGAATTAACATGCTTAATTAGCATAAAACCTTTAAATTTACCTATATTTTAGCCATGTCTTTTTATATACAAGTAGAAAATAAATAAACAAAACTGTCAAAATTCAACTCCTTAAATATTGATTTAATTTTAAAAGCCCACAGTATTTTGTGTGTTAGGCAATAGAGCACTTGAGTTCAAATTAGCGTGAGACAGTTTAGTCTAAGCGTTAGATCTTTTGAAATCCCTTGAATCCACTCGGCTCTCGTGAGTGCCTTACAAATGTCAGAGAGAGTAAATAATAGTGGGGAATAGTACTGGTCACATAATCTTATCAATATATGTAGGGGAATTTAAATTTAATACCATCTACGTTATCGATAATCAGGCACTACTAGAGAATTTCAGTTAAGGGTAACCCTAACCAATGTTCCCTCTAAGAGGAAGAAGCTGATGTGCAATGTGTATTTTGTGTGCACTGTGTTCTTAAAGTCTTATACATGGAAATATTATGTATTTTACAAAATGACTGCAAGGCCAGACACTGCGCAGCTTAGAGTGAACACTAACCTTAACTATCTCATCTTTTTTCAGCTGAAACAGTCTTTAGAAAAGCCCCTTGGGATTGACCATAGCAATATTCAAGTGTGGAAAGGTGAAGTCCAGATGCAGGACAACCACCAAATCATGGATTACGAAGTCACAGCTGATGACACTTTAAAAATTAAAGACACCACGCCGACAAATATTTGATGGCAGATGATTGGGACGTGTGTAAATATTTCTCAGGCTGAGTCACTCTATGATGCATTTTGTGTGTGTATGCTGGTTCTGTGGTATAGATTGTTCTGAAGAGTGTAAATAATTTTAATGGGGGCTTTATACTTCTGAAGCTAATTCTAAGGTCATCCTATCCATTTCACTTTTTAAATATTTTAAAAATGTTTTCAAAGGAGTCATTATTTTTTATTAATGTACTCATGTAACACACTCCCCCTCCCCCAGTTTTAACTGCTAATTGAGAGTTATGTTAACTTTAAAATTGTAACTTGTCCTCAAAGTATTAGATCTGTGCTCTAGTCATTGGGGAATATCCAAAGTGAACAAAAATGTATAGGGAATTACCTATGGTCTTATTAGGTAAATTTGTGAGTTTATTAGTTTGAATAACTGGATGTGGAGTTGTTTGTTACAGGACAGGTATGAGGAACTTACAACAGGGATTGGCTTTACTATAAATATAAATTACATAAGATTCTATTTATAGAAAGATAATCCAATAAAGGTGTTTGGGTTTGTTTTTTTTTTACAGAAAAGGGCAATGTTGAAAAAAATATTTTTATAGCATCTTGCTTATTATTTTTATGCAGGGTATTAGTGCCATATATTTTTAAAAGTCAGTAAATTGATCAGAATGATTTGATTATGTACACGATTTTGTACACGTCACTTTTTTTTTTGGTTAAAATATTCTTTTTAAAAATGTTTATATTATCTTGTGAATACTCATTACCTTAATGCACAGTTACTTGTATGTATTAAAGAAGTTCAAGTAATATTTTTAAAAGTAAGATTTAAGAACTTAAAAAAGTAACAGAACAATAAATCATGGTCATTGTCACGTCTAACAGGAAATATAGAAGTAAATGTCAGATTATGATGAAGCAATGAAGAAATAATTTTTAACAATTAATGCAATTTCTAATACTTATTTATAGACATGTTTATGTAAAATGAATTTTTTTTAATTGGACTTTTTTTTTTTTGGTGCTTACTGTCACAACAATAAATAGGCTATAAACTGAGTTCTTGATCAGGGTGTGTGGTTATCCCCCTTTTGATACAACTTAAAACTTGATGACCTATTATTTCACACTAAACTTCATTTTGTGATTACTAATGAAACTGTTATTTTTTAGCTTAGATTTTAGTTTAACCAGAACTGAAACTCTGGTACATTTTGTACTGAGTTGGATGTTGTTTAATGGGATTCATCATGCATGTCGTTATTTAGATAGCTTAATTGTAAATACTTCTAGCTGATTAGCTGTATGTATAACATGGGAGAACCTTTTACGCTGTGAACTGCCAAAATTTGTGCCTTTTTTATGTGGACGAACACAGTGGTATATATCATGACAAAATAGCATTTACAATTGTTTGTAACAAGAAGATAGAGTTGTGTTATAGGAGAAACCTTTGGTGCAGCAGAGTTGGCCAAAGAAAATCCTAGCTGGCAACAAGTTTTGTCCAGTCATTTAAATTGTGCTGTCCCCTGGCCATTCATGTAAGGGGGGGCTGACTCCTCAAGATTATGTTTGAGTAAAGAAATGGAACATTAAAGTTTAATCGTAAGATTTTTTCTACAAATAGTCACACTTGAAGGTTTGTGAGTCCGCCATTTCCCCCCCCCCCCCCCCCTCGATAAAATAGAAGGGTGGCGTAGTTGAGGTACTTTTGGCTTACTATTCTTTTGTGTATGGTGGATAGAAGTCTCAGACTTTTTTAAAAAACTAGATATTGCGCAAATGGATTTATGTCTGGCTTTTAGGCGAATTGGTTGATTTTTTTTTTATTATTTCACTGATATTATATTTTATTTACAAGAGCTGATTTTTATTTCATTTGGACACATTTTTCTAGCCTTCTAAAACAAACTTTACAAACTTGGCAATGCTAGCATGTTCTTTTTGAAATAAAACCATTCAGGCTAGTCTACAAAACTTTGATGTGAATTGTTTGTTTTGGATTAGTTTTGTTTTCCATTGCTTACATTGTTAAATCACATGGTACAACACATTGTGGAAACATGGTGGATTTTCAAAGAAGGAAAATCTTTGAGATTATTTGTCAATTTCCATTCTTTTTTTTTTAGAACTGAACATTTAATCATATACAAAATAAACAGTATTATTTGGTGACTAGACACTTTAAGTGGTGAACAATTAACCATTATTAAAAAAAGAAAACGATAAAAATATTTGATAAAGAAATATTTTACAACCTTGAAAAATCTATCCAGAAATAGAAATTAATAGTACTATAATTAAGGTTTACACCTTTTTAGCGTCTCCAGATTCACATTTTGAAAAGTTATTCAGATGAAAATTCATCCTCTTCGTCCAAACTTTCATCCTTGATGTCTAGACTCTCCTCGCAGTCATCTTTAACCAAGCCCCTCTGCAGCATGTTGGTGTTGGCTGCCACTATGGCCTTCTCTAGCTCCACCTCATCGTCCATCAGCACGCCCTCCCACCTGTCACCCCTCTGCCGGTGTAACTTGACGTGATGCCTCAGCCCAGACCTCCTTAGCAACTTGTCACAAAGCTTACACTTGAAATACTGGGACTTCTCCTTCAGTTCTTCCCCTTTCTTGTTGTCATGGCAGCGCTCTATGTGCTTGCGGACTAAAATTTTACGAGTGAAGCCCCGCCCACATATGTGACAGACGTGCGGACGCAGCTGGTCGTGCTGGGATTTGGTGTGGCGGGTCAGGGAGCCTTTCTCAGTGAACGAGAGACCGCAGATGGTACACTTGTGGTTTCTCACACCTGAGTGGGATAACTGGTGGGGGAAAAGGAAAAATGTCACATAAAGGATTGATTAAACTACATACAAAAAAGGGACAGTGGTATGTAGAGTATATGAATATATGCTTATGTCAGCTGAACATTACAGCAGTAAGACAATTTTTTGCACTGGCCACAAAAATGGATAAGCTCTACTTCACCTGCCAATTACCCTCATGCCTTAATGGGGTTATTTTATGCCAAGCAAGTGCCCAATTTTACATAATGTGGTCATTTCACACCATGATAACGTTCCTAAAACTTTTATCATGTGGACATAAGCAAGTAAGTTTTATAACAGGATAATAAACATTCAAGCGCTACCTTTTTTTAACAAGTGCTATTAATTATGGATATAAAATTAGATTAAATTATCTTCTTCTTTATTCCTAATGTTACATGCCAACACTATGGTGTTGACTCCAATTTCAACCTGCTTTTCTTTTTGGATCTGCTTCCATAGCCTTTGTCCAACCAAGAACAAACTAGAAGACAGCAGTTGTTTGATTTTTGAGTTGTCTCTCCTAGAAGAGTTGCTGTCCCCAGCTATTGAGGCCTCATCTGCCTGGGGGTTCAAACTGTGACTTTTTGGTTTAGCTTAAAATTATCAGAACTTTCAATTTTGGTTTTGAAACTCAAACCATATCAAGAACATGTATTTAAAACTTACTAAAATTGTTTTTTTTACATCTTACCTTATGTCTGTTGAGATTTTCTGTTCGTTTAAAAACTTTGTTACAGATGTCACAAGCCAGCTCTCTCCTACTCTTGTGAATCCTCTCTTCGTGTTTGACCAGCATGGGGTGGAACGAGAACCTGCGGTCACAGAAACTGCAGGCATACGGCTTGACAACAAAATGGTTTTTCTGCAACATGAGATATTAGTTATTAGATTGTTGTGCCTATAACAAAATGGTTTTTCTACAACATTGAAAAATAGTAGGTATAAAAAAATTGACAACAAAATTGTTTTTCTGCAACATGGAATATTAGATATTAGAATGTTGTGCCTGACAACAAAATGGTTTTTCTGCAACATGGAATATTAGTTATTAGAATGTGCTTGACAACAAAATGGTTTTTCTGCAACATGAGATATTAGTTATTAGAATGTTGTGCTTGACAACAAAATGGTTTTTCTACAACATTGAAAAATAGTAGATATAAAAAAATTGACAACAAAATGGTAGAGTTTAGAGTTTTTAGTGCATGTACTAGAAATAGGTAAATGGCTGCTCGTATATACAACATTCTCGAGCTACTGTTATCTGCATAAAAGTAATCAATCTATTCAATAGCTTCCTTTGTGACAAGTTACATGCAATCATTTACTAAGAAATCTATAAACCATACATCTAAAATCCACACAAACCTAACACCAAAATGTGCTTGAAAACCTCAAATTATAATATACCTTTTTTCTTAAAAAAAACAATTAACCTGACTAAAAAAAATAATAAATTAGAAACTAGATTATGTTCTACAAAAATATAAATTTGATCTAACAATAAAAAACAACAGAATTTATTAAAATAAAATATCAATTCAGAAAAAAAGTATACCCACTAAAATAAAAACAGTGAAAGTGACTTTTGATTTTATTAAATCTGAGAAAGTTAAAAACAACTACTGAGCTTTATGAAACAAAACTAGTCTTGCACAAACCTCATGCTGCAACAAGTGTCTCTGCTCCACATACATCTTGCCACATGTCTTACACTTGTAGTTGACGTCTGTGTGTGCTGACACGGCGTGGTCACTCAGCTCCGACAGCTGCTTGAAGACCAGCCCACACAGAAGGCAAGGATGGCCGCCATCATGCTTGGCGTGGATTCTAGCATGCTTCTCCAGGCTGGACTTTTGGGTGAAGGTTTTATCACACTTGGCACACTGGTAGGGCTTTTGACCTGAGGGGTGAATAGGAAAAACATTGCATGATCTTGTATAGACAATGGGACAGTGGATAATAATGGAGAGTACAACAGCTGCTTTTCCTACAATTGTGGTATGTTTCCTTGAGTTATAAGTAAAGACTTTGAAACACTAGTACAGCTTTTGGCCTGTGCGCAAAAACATGTATTATTGATTTATATGCGGTTGATTGATAGATTGTGATTGTGAAATTGCCAACTCAAGTCTAAATACAGTTCAAGTGCATAGGACAAACTTGAGTCTAATCAACTTTGGCAGGTATCTAAGAATCCTTGCTTATGACAAGCAGGTTTAAAAAAAACACTACTCTACTTCAACTGCTCTATGTAACATCAGGTTTGGAAAGGGTACTGGATATAATAAAAGTTTGAGAAGGTTACAACAAGTGATTCCATAACCTCTTAAAACAATTGATGAAAGGTCTGTTGCTGGCAGAGATTTCATAGAACACAACAGACACCAACTGACCCAAAATATAATAATCAGGTGTGTTGTATATATATTGCTATTTAGGAATAAAGCCCTGCTCAGAAATCTTAGGGATTACTCGAGGAAAACTCATAAGTTTTAAAACTTTCAAGTGTAAAATGATCAGGGAAAAATTATTAGAACAGAAGATTTTCTAAATATATAGATCACTAAACTTAAAAAGCACTGTGGTGATTAATTCTAATTCTCAAGTTTAAGAAAAAAAAATTCAGTAGAATAGAATCTAATAATATCTGAAAGTTTTCTACAAAGAGAATAGAAGTGAAAAAATAAAACTAAGGGAAGCTATTCTACTTTAAATTTAAGTTGTTTTTTTTTTATCTTTCTTAATTTTGTGTAAATTAAAACAGTGCTTTCTGTGAATGCAATTAATGTTTTTTTTAGGAAACAAAACAATTTTACAATTCTAACAGCAGTTTTGTTTTATTTTACTTATGAAAAACAAAAAAATGTAAAGAATCTTTACAAGACATACCCAAGTGAATGATTGAGTGTCTCTTAAGATCTGAACTCTTAGGGAACCTATGGCCACACTGTGTGCAGATGTATGGCCGAGAGCCGGTGTGGTCACGTTTGTGAATGACCAGGCTGGTTCGATCCCCAAAGAGTGTAGGACAGAAGTTGCATTGGAATGTTTTCTCTGATGGGTGCTCTGTCTGGCGGTGCTGGTGCAGGGTGTCCAGGAGAGTGAAGACCTTGTGGCAGGTTAAACAGTTGATCATACCTGCAGACAGGTAAAGGGCTGGTAGACAGGCGGTATGTTAGGAATAATGCATGGCTTTTAGTGTCATCATGGTCAGACGGTAGAGCACATGACTCCTAAGCCATGGTTTCGGATATGGCAATAGTCCATCCAGCTCTAGGATACCTGACTCCCAATAGGGAAAGTAAAAGCAGCTGGGCATAGTGCTGACTACACTATTGCTCTTTCCAATGGTAGGCTTAGTAGTCCACCCAGCTCTGGGATACCTGACTCAAATAAGGGTAAGTAAAAACAGCTGGGCATAGTGCTGACTACACTATCTCTTCATAAGCCGAGGTCATATGTGAACTTTAATTCACCTGCCTCAAAACTGCCAAGTTGGAAAGATAATTTTTTTAATTCACCACTAGTAAAAGAAATTAAAATAGATTTTCGGAAATGTCAAAAATATTTTTTTTTAAATGCAGGAACTTACGTGGCTTTGAGACCTTGTCACCATCATCATCGCTCTCCTCGTCCATCTGCTGCTGAATTTTGTTGTCCCTGTTTTCTCCCTCTGTGTGTTCACATGTTTCTGCAGACCCACACGTCAAACAAATTGGTATTCTCATCTTTTTTTCTATCCCATCCAACTCAGGCTTATTGTGAAACTTCTTTAAATAAAATAAAAACAGTGTTATTACATTAGCATTAAATAGTAGAAGTTTAGTGATCTTTTGAAATCATTAGTGTAAATTTATAAACAAATGTTAGCTACATAAGTTAATTTGAAGCAAGTACCTTGAGGTGTTTTAGTATTCCTAACTTTTCTGTAAACTCATCTCCACATATCCAACATCGGTAAACCACAACAATAGGTTTTTCATTTTTTGAACTATTGTTCTCTTTTTCCTTCATTACAGCAGGTGATACAGCTGATGACATTTGTATGGTAAAAATTTAAATGTGCTTATCTGAGGAATTAATTAAAACATCCTGGGAAAAAAATTAAAATAAACACCTACATTTTATGTAGGCCTAGTTATTAGTTTAGTAATAATTAGTGTACTGTTGCTTTCATTATCATTAGGGCATTTGTCCTATGAACCTTTAGACTATAGAAAATAAGGGTTTTAAAAAAAATAATAAGCCTATTGTTAGTATTATTAAAGTAAGTAATGTTAGGAGGTGTAATATATTAGACATTAGATTTTAGGAAATATTTTCAATGTTGTAGGGTTAGTTTAGTTATCTAATTATAGTAATTATTAGACCTAGGCCCTAATTAAAATTCAAATTACATTATGAATTAACTATTAATTATGGCAATTAAGAGACATTTTTGTTGTGCTTGTGATAATAGAAATTTGGGATATTTTATAATTTAATACTTAGAAAGAATCAACCCTTTGAATCCCGGACAGATTGCCCCCCCCCCCCCCCCCAGTGTAGACCTAAAAGTAAAATAGGCCTATAGGCCTACTATATGAAAATAATTAGGTAATTACGCCTATTATTACTATTACTAGACTATGTATAATTGTATACTTGTATGTATAGTTGTATAAACTAAAAATAAATAAATTATTAATCTACTTCAATAACTTCATCAAGTCTTCAGTCTTCAGTCAGTGACAATCGACTCGTCATTCGGTTCTTATTCTTAAGTTGGAGATTTTTTAATTTTTATACTGCTTATATTCTAGATTCTAGACCTTTATCTACTCTAAGATCGAAATAAATTGCTAAAGCATGTGTTAATGCAACAGTAATGGAATCTTTTTAAATAGTCATAGCGTTGGGTCCAGAGATCTCTAGAGCTCTAAATCTTTTGTTTATTGAATGCGCTTTTTTTTTACTGTATTTATTATTTGTATTAATTTTCTCTTGGAACTCTTCAAACGAAAAGTCAATAACATCATAATAAATACGACATCTGGGAATTTCGTCCTTTATCTTATTAGACAAACAGATGATTAGTGACAATGTCTGTTGGACAGAAGTAGGGCCTGTATTCAAAACATTAAATCATGTAGATTCTATATTATTTAAGCAACAGATGTATTTCCTCTAGAACTAGTATGCATTAAATTGTAATTCCTGATAATGTTAGAAATTAGGTGTTATTTTTTTTTAATAATTGAAGTTTCTAAGCCATAAGACAGTAAATGTAAAATATAGAGTCGGCTATACGTACCTAGCCTAGGCCTATTTATAGGAATATAGGCTAGAACTACTAAGTAAACTGACAGAGGGTTTTCCATGAAATCACGTCACACTCCTAGGGGAGGGGGGTCGTAATTTTGTGACGATGTGTAATAAGGGTGAGGGTTCAGTTAGTGTGACGCCACATTATAGTATTTTTTTTTTTTACTGTAAGAAAACTGAATTTTAGCTGTTATTTGTTTGCGTTATAGAAAACGTTTTTTTTTGTTTTTTTTTTATGCAAATTATAATAGAAATTCATTAATAAAGGCTATGTTGACTGAGCTTAGTCAATACTTTAGCAAATTCGATATTTAAAAAATTAAACTGCAATTTTTGAGGGAGGGGTTGTAGGCTGAGGTGTGAGGTCATTTTTAGGGGAGGGTCTTTCTTTTTTTGACCATGTGTAATAGTGGGGGAAGGGGAGGTAAACAAAATCGTGACGTTATTTATTCTTGACGACTTAACTAAATTTAATACTCATTATAGACTAATAATTAATAAAAATTTAAAAGAGATAAAAGAATGATTCAAAACTTTTTATCAATGGTTCATGAACAGGAATAGGTCTACATTTTATATAAGATAAGTACAGTATTTTATTGGGGGGGGGGGGGGTCTTTAATACGCCATCAATAAATAAGTAACACTCATGGGGAGGGGGCTCAGAATTTTTTAAATATAATTTCACCAATTCACTCATTTATTAATGGCGTTAAAATTTTAGAAAAAGAAATTATTGTTTCCAAAAAAAAAATTTGAGGAGAAGTAAGTGTGACGTCACTTTGAGAAAGGTCTTAAGTTTTTTTTATTGTTGTGATGATGGAGGGTGGAATAATCCCAAAATACCGTGACGTCAATTATAGGACCCCTATGAGGATATAGGCTGAAGTGTTATAATTTTATTGGTTCTGTATTTGTGTGACATATGTGGAACATCGTCCAAAACTGCGTGATGTTTTGTATGGACTACCACTAATATATTTATGCTAATGTATCCCATAACAAAGAAAGCTTGCTAGGATATTGTTACACACGGTGTTTTCAGTGTTAAACTTTCTTATCGCCATTCGTCGACCATGGTACTGAAAGTCGGGGTTAGTCAGTGCAGACGATAGAATTATTAGAAAGGGTTCGTTGAGTGCCCGTTTAAAACGTTGGGGTTCGGTACCGTCAAAAAGGCTAAGATATAGAGGATCGCCTTCGCTGTATGCAGTGTTTCTTCCAGACTTTTTCTCCGGGGGGGGGGGGGGGCACTTGAAATTTTCGGGGGGGGGGGGGGGGGCGGTAGACTTTCTTTGGGGGGGGGCGGACCCTATTAAAGGTATATATTTTCTATATAAATTATATAAATTTAATTTCGTTCGGGGGGGGGGGGGGGCGGTAGAATTTTTTCGGGGGGGGGGGGCTGTATGACTGGGACCTGTAACCGATCGTGGAATCCCCGACTCTGTGTGGCACTGATTAAGTGCAATCAAATGTTTTACGCAAACTAGGCCAGTGTAATGAATGGAGATTTAACGAGTGCTTTAGAAAAGTGACAGTTTATTTGACTCAAAAACAGAAGTGGACTTGGTGTATCCAAGCGACCAGGGAAATAAATAAAAGCGACCCATATCCGATAGTTTCATTGTGCTTTTTAAATCTAATTCTGTGGACAGTTGCATGCATTCAAAGTCACGGATCACTATAAATTGTAATATACAGTAAAAACACATTGACAGATCGTATCAACAGATCGTAAGGGTTGATTAAAAAAAGACATTTTTGTAATGATAGAAAGGGGGAGGGAAAAATCGTCAAAAAAGCTGTTTAATTAGTTTAAATAGCTTTAATATCAAAGCTTAAAAACAACTAGATAGTACGAGCTAGTTTTTAAACTAGTTTTGCTTCACTCTACGTGATTAATGCTTTAAATATCAAAGTTTAAAAACAACTAGATAGTATGAGCTAGTTTTTGAACTAGTTTTGTTTCACACAATGTGATTAATGCTCAGCTGTTTTTGAAATTGGACCCTAGTGCGAGCGATTACATTATTTAAAAAAAATAAACTGGTTTTTTTTTGTGTGAAGTTAATGCGATAAGTAAAGCTAGTCACTTCGATTACAAACTATATTTATACTGGGAGATTTCGGTAAAGAACTAGAACAGATAAGAATTATATTTTTAAAGTTTACTAAAAGAAAAAAAAGTTTGCTGTTTCAGCTTTGGAAAATCCTAACAGATAAGAAAATCTATATTGGGAATTATTATTTTTTTCGTGTATAAATACTTGCATTAATTTTTCAACGCATAGATATTTTCTTGTGCGTCACAAACCGAAACAAGATGTTCACATTGTTGGGTGAGTTCGTGTATGTGCGCTTTAGTGTGGTCTGTTCTATACGTCTTGTGAGAATAGACTATGGGGCTGTTTTCTTTTGTTGGTTACACTTGCTGTTTGTTGGGATTTTATTGTTTTGATAATCCCATCTGATTGTTTTTCGCATAAAAACCTTCTATACTGATCTTTTTTCCCCGTTAGAATCAAATTTTCTTATGTCTGTTGAGGCTACCGTTTCAATACTAGATCTAGTAAGATAAAGTTACCCTTTCGAACCTGGCGGTCCATGAAGCAGATGAAATAGAGTCCATCTGTTTCTATGACTTCGGCGTGTGAAGGGATAGTATGGTTAGACATAACAGGTCCCTATTTGAGCTAGGTGGACTCAAATACGTACAACGTACTAAAAAGCTCGGGATCCGATCTCGAGACTTTCGGGCTAGTAGTCGTGTGCTCTACCGTATGACCACGCCTGGCCATCTTTTCCCCTACTTGCTCATATAATCAGAGACATAGAGACCCACTTCAGCACCGTGGAGTTTACACCCCCCTCCCCATTTATATATAGTTATACACCCTGGTGAAAAAGCATCCCTCCCCTCGCCCCTTATTAGTTTTTAGTCGAATAATCCGTAAAGCTAAGCAACAACTTTGACTGTATATAATTCAATACTGCAGCTCGGAATGAGCTGTTTATTTTTTCCTACCCTATTTGGTGGCCAACTATGATCGGACCCCGCGGCCAGTGGCGTAGCCAGGATCGCCTCATGGGGAGGTTCAAATTTTTTCCCGCATCATAAATGTATATATCAGAGGCGTAGCGTCCCTCCCCAGCCCCCGAGGACAAACTTTTGATTTGCACACCCCCCCTCAAACTTTTGATTTGCACCCCCCCCCCCCTCAAACTTTTGATTTGCACCCCCGCTCAACCTTTATGTATCTACCGAGGGGTCTATGGGGTGGGGGGGGGTCTGATCCCCCCTACCCCCCCTGCCTACGCCACTGCCTGCGGATGCCGCCCCACCTAACCTCCCCTCGCCACGCCTCTGCTTATAAAACCCAACGTTGAAACCTCCTCTCTACACCCTACAGCGGTCCTCGCGTTGTTGGCCGCGTGCCATGCAGCCCCCGCCTGTGACGGGTTCAACGTCAACATCACAATGACCCGATGTTTGACCGACAACGGCTTCACGTACGACGACATCAAAGGCCTGATCCCAAACGACGCAGGAGCTATCAGTTTCGACGAAAATGTAAGTAGTAGATGCACATTATTATTTATATGTAGGTTATATATTTTAATTGATAAATGACGTCGTGCTTTGAAGAATTTTTACCCCCCCCCCCCTCTCCATTGTTACACATCGTCACAAAAAGCTAAACTCCACCCCCCATGACCTTTTCACAATGCAAAACTATGACTTCACAATTTCTTATCACCCCCCCCCCTTCACCACACGTCGTCACACTTTCCCGATACCCTCCCTCTACCCTAGGAGTGTGACGTCACATTTGTACACCCCTCCCCCCCCCCCTTTAAATACATTAATTAAATTTCCCCAGGAGGTTTAAGTACAATGCTATATTTTTCAATTCGTTTACTAGACCCCAATCAGGCCCTAATTAACCTCAGCACGGCAATTAATAAAAATAATACATCCTTAGTACAAAGTACACCATTTGTTTACGCGTAATCTTGGTGTTAAAAAATTGGTTTTTAAGCACATCAAGAAATCAAAACAGTAAGCCGCTTTACTGTAACAAACTAAATGTTTGAACAAGTTGTTTCTGAAAAACTAGATACGGAGAAAGAATCGTTTTTTTTTAGTTTGCCGTGAAATATTTTGAATTTTTGTTAATATGTGCAGAAGAAAATGACAAAACGAACAGATATTTAATCTAATTTAAGTATCCTTGAATCTCAATTGTACCATTGAAACCCTTCATCTTTCGTAATAGGTGAAACAATCAACTTATAAATAGACGAACTTAGTCTACTAATATGCTAGCTGAACTACGCCACATAGAGTACTATGTTTTTTTTCCAATTAATAGAATTAATGTAAGAAAATTAATAATGCACGAAGTGTTTTATTCTGTAAAAAAAAAAAATTGTTTCCCATTCCCTGTAACTCTTGCTGGCTTGTTCTATGTTTGGTATTTCTTTGGTTAATCCCCTTACAGTTACAGATTGGTCAATTATTTGGCCCCTATGTGTCTTTACAAAAAAATCAAACGGAGTAGTTTCCCTGGATAAATCGAGTCAAGACCAAGCTAGTTATATATTACGATAATTAAAAGTTGGAACATAACTTATATAAGGGAGGCAAATGTAAGTTTTAAAATTTAAACGTGGAGAGTTATATCCCTTTCCACAGTGCAATCTTGTTAATGTAAACGTTTGGTTTTAGTAAAAGACTTGAGACTAACTTGAGAGCAGAGTTTCTTCCAGGCCCCCCCCCCCCCGAAGAAAGTCTACCGCCCCCCCCCCCCCCCCCCCGAAAATCCCAATTGCAACTTGCCCCCCCCCCCCCCCCCCCCAGGAGAAAAAAGTCTGGAAGAAACACTTCTTGAGAGATTTATGGCCGAGTTATAGTGCACATACCCACGGACAGTTTAAGCATACCATACCATCCTTCCACCATTCTTTCAATCTTTCCCACTAACCATACAAATACGTTGGTACGGCTAATCCATGAGTTTCCCCTCTTCTAACGATTGATCAAATATTGCACTGTTGTGTGCTGACGAAGACCTTGGGTCGAAACGTCCATAGTATTTGTAACTGTCTTTAACTTGTGAGGTAACTAACACTATATGTTTTATTACTCATCAAATATTACAGGACTACAGGTTACTGTGCACCAAGCGAATGGAGTACCAGAAAGCTTCCGTGTGCATTATCGATGAACTCAACCGCTGCCAGTCTGCAGGTAGGTGTGTCATACTTGCATTTCTACTTTTGTCAACTTAACCTCTTTTGTGTGTGGACTTGTGGTGTCATACTTACACTTCTACTTTTGTCAACTTAACCTCTTCTGTGAGTGGACTTGTGGTGTCATACTTACTCCTCTACTTTTGTCAACTTAACCTCTGCTATTCTGTAAGCATATTTGTGATGCCATTATTTTACTGCTGTAAATGTAATCTATGCTGTTCTGTAAGTAAACTTGTGATGTCATTACTTTTACTAACACCCCTACTATTCTGTATATATACGTGTTATGTCATAATACTTCTACTGCTGTAAAGCTCACCTCTGCAATTCTATAAGTAGACATGTGGTGTCATACTTACACCTACTTTTGTAAACCTCTTCTGTAAGTGTGGACTTACTTACACTTCTACTTTTGTCCACCTCTTCCGTAAGTGTACTTGTGGTGTCATACTTACACTTCTACTTTTGTCAACTTAACCTCTTCTGTGAGTGGACTTGTGGTGTCATACTTACACCTCTACTGTTGTAGTTGTAGACTTAACGTCTGCTGTAAGTAAACTTGTGATGTCATTACTTTAACTACCGTAAACTTTACCCCTGCTTTTCTGTTTGTATACGTGTGATGTCATTATACTTCTACTGCTGTAAATGTAATCTCTAGTGTTCTGTAAGTGTACTTGTGGTGTCATAATTACACTTCTACTTTTGATAATCTCTATCAAACAATAGACATGTGGCTATCAAACTAAATTGTATTCCAGTAATTTTAAAACTTTTGTCTCAAATTATTACTATTTGACTGCGTCACTTTTGTATAATGGTTAGGTTATTAAGAATTTTGGTCACCAATGTTTGACAAGTCAAACAAGAATCGACAAAATGAACGGTTTTTTGTCCACATCATCAAAACAAAAATGTTATCAAAATATTTTATGTCCCGCTTAGCGAACAGTTTAGAGCCAGACATGTACATTGGCCTGAATAGTTTTTCAAAATGGCTTCACATTCCTAAATTTCTTTTTTTTTTCTTCCTTCTTAATTTTAGTGTTGTTATGCCCCCAAAACAGACGTTGATTCCAAATTCGGCCTGCTTTTCTTTTTAGATTTGATTCCTTAGCCTGTGTACGACCAAGAACAAACTACAAGACAGCAGTTGTTTCATTTTGGAGTTATCGTCTCCTAGATGAGTTGCTGTCCCCAGTCCCCAGCTATCGAGCCTCATCTGCCCGGGGGTTTCAACTCGCGACTTATCGGTTCAATAACCATGAACTTAACCGCCCCGACCACGCCGACCTGATTACTTAATTTAAATCCCGTCACATTTGTGACCCCCCCCCCCTTTTTTTCTCCCTATCACTTGAAATGCGAGTGTGATGTCATAATTATTTTACACCACAACTATTGACTCCACCATACACACACACAAACAAACAAACACACACCCTAACCAGTAGCGTACGCAGGGGGGGGGGAGCAGGGGGAGCGGCCGCTCCCCCTCTGGCCATTTTCAGCAAAGTGGCGCCTTTTTGGAAACTTTTTAAACTCAAAGTTTTAAACAATGATATTTGTTAAAAAAATATTTTTGGTCGGCACATCTATGTAAATCACAAGATTTCTTTTCATGCAGCAATTAAGCATTATTGTACTAGTCTAGTAGTGTCTACGTTTACAACACGCATTAGCAGCTGTATCAGTTTGTCATTCTAAAAATAACCATTACGAAGCATTGCAATGTTTTAAAAACCTCTACGAGTAGTACCACTTGGCAAGAGGGGTGTTAAAATTAAGGCAACTGTATAATGTATTTGCTCACGAATAATTGAATTAGAAAATGTTATACATAAAACTTCACACATAATTACTTTATATATACAGTTTGAATCGTGTGATTAATTTTAAAAAAAATTACAATACAGAAACAAATACAACTGATGTGGCAGCTCTATTTAAATTTACTGATGAGCAAACTGCGTAGTGGTGGGGAAATTTTGACAAGTTCAACAACGTCAACACTATGAAGTAGTAGTATTCTTACAGTTTGGGCGATAGTGATTACGATTACAAATTATATGAAACAGTTACAACCCCCCTCCCCCATGGACCCCTCTGTAAAAAAAATATTGTCATAATACCACTGCTACTTATTTAAATCTATTTCTGTAATATATATTTGTGTAATACATATTTGTGTAATATACATGTATGTTTAGAACAGTCATCTAAAAACTGACTATGTTCACTCTGAGTTGGTTATCTTCCCCCCCCCCCCCCCCACACACACACACCTCACCACCACAATTGTGTAGAGCGACATTAATGTCACACCTAGGTATACACTGGGTTGGATAATTGACCTAAAGTGACCGGACAGTGGTGAATGAAGTTGAACCCACACCCCGACCCACCCCGAACTGATCTGTTAAGTACATGTAGAAAAACGCGTAGTGATGTACCAAAGTACCATGCCGTCAAAAAAATTAGCTTTTTAAACGTAAAACTCTGTGAATATTGTTTTTGCAATTACCAGTAAAAAGGTGTGTGATCAATACAGTGACCTAACCCATACCAATCACTATGTTAAAAGATGATCCTTAAAAGAACTCAAAGAAGCAGTAGTTAATTAAAGTATATGATCTGAACTAAAACACGGATATTTAGTTAAATGTAGGCCTAGGCTTTTATTCCGAATGTTTTCTATTTTATCGAAAAGCGTGTTTTTATACCAACTCTGATTTTAAAAACTTTCATTATGCTGTAATACTTTAGCATTTATGATGACGATATATTAAATTATGATTATAGACAAAAACATTTTGTAAACACGAATAGTGTTAAGCAATTTAATTATATTCTAAAGTAATTATTTATTTGTTTTGACATTTATAATTAAATGTGTAGATATATACATATTTATATTAAGAGAGTGATTATTTCCCCTATTTCACTTGTCTTAAATAATTTCCCAGGAATTATTATGTAAGAAATTTGTTTACAAGAATTACAAAACAAATTGTGTTACGTTCGTTGTTTTTGGTTGTAGTGTGTGTAGATTTTTGTTGTTGTTTTTGTTCTAGATTGATACAATTTTTGTTCTGTCGGCCTACATTGTGTTTTTTTTTTCTTATTTCTTCAGAGTGCTACTTTCAATTTATTTTACATCATAGCGAAATAATGAGATACAGCTAGTAATTATATATATATATATATATATATATATATATATATATATATATATATAATACACGTATATAGAACGCATTAAAAAATCGGCGCCTTTTTTTGCTCTTTTCGCTCCCCCTACAACGTAAACCTGGATACGCCTCTGACCCTAACATCCCACCACACACACGCTAACATCCCACCTTTCATTTTTGTCCTCGGTTTCAAGTAGACACAAGCGCATACGAACAATTTATTTACAACTTTTTTTCAGGAGACATTTCAATCACGCCAAACATTGACCAGTCCATCAAGGTCATGAACATGATGTGCGACGACCCAAACTTCAAGCTTGAATGTGTCGTCCTTCTGACCAAAAACTCCACGGAGGTGCAAAAATGTGTGTCCGAGAATTATGACGTCATCGCCGAGATGCGCACCAAAACCATGCAGGAAGTCGTGTGTGAAAGTTCAAAGGTCGGGGTCAAGTGCGCTGTGGATATCATCCGGAAGTGCGATGAGCACACGGCAGACGTCGTGTTGGGCGCGTCGTACATGTCACTTCCGGCCGTCTGCTCAAACAGCACAGCCAGTTAAAACGTTTGGTTCTGCTGCGCTTGAAATAAATGGCATTGCGTATGCGTTCTTGAACAGTTTTATTTTAGTTTTGAGTCAGATGATTGGTGGTTTTTTTTCTCGGTCAGAAATGGTTGATGTCTCAGTCAGGGAGGATTGATGTCTTTGAGTCACGGATGATAGATGTTTTTGTCTCTGCCAGGAATATGTGGTATTGTTGTTGTCATCACGTATTGTAAACATATAAATAAAACGTCATGGCCCCAATCAGAGTTTCTTCCAGGCATCTCTTCGAAAAAATTTTACCGCCCCCCCCCCCCCCCCGAACGAAATGAAATTTATGTAATTTATATAGAAAATATATACTTTTAACAGTGTACGCCCCCCCCCCCCCCAAAAAAAAATTTCAAGTGCCCCCCCCCCCCCCGGAGAAACACTGGCCCCAATGTAGGCATTCTAATAATGAGGCCTTGTCATCTGTAAATTTTAATACTGTAATGCCCCTATAAGTGATCCACTAGATGTTAATTTGGAGTGCATGAAAAGTTTCTTGTTGCTTGTTCGTTTTATTTCAAAAGCCCTCCTATTGCACTGACGAATATAATTTTGGGTTAACTTTCATCACATATCTGTGGGCGCATGACACGTGTTGCCGTGTGACCACTCTTTAATATCCGGGATCATTTTCGTCTCGTTGTTTGTGTGAACTTTCTTGCAAAGGTCACACCAATACAACTTCTCGCTCAGAGCCGCCAGCCGGTCTTTTTCTTTCAGCATTGTGGCGTACCTAGCATGATCATTGCCCAGCTGGATCAGGAACTTGGCTAGCTCGGCGGCGTTGGGGAATTTGGAAGCATCCACGAACCCACCCTGGGGTAGGTGTTTCCCATAGTCGAAGCCGCCTCTGGCTACGGGTATCACGTGGTGTCGTTTCATGAAATTCCGGTAAAATTTTTCCGTGAGGTAATCTTTACAGAAAGAGTTCTCAAAACTGAGGTAAAATCTATAAGTAGTTGTCAGCATCTCTTCGCAGGCTGCTTTAGAGCATTGCAGACTTCCACAAGAGCCATATATATCGACTGGCATATGTTTCTGAAATCCAAAAATAGTATTCAAATAATTTTCAAAAAGTAAAAACAAGGTAATTAAAAAGTCTAGTGACAATTTTAGCGCAATTTCCTTATGTTATCTAAAAATAGCTCTGTCGTAGCGTAAATCAAGAGCAGGGTTAGTAAAACCATTGGTTAGTTATTAAAACGTTTTTTATTATATATTTTTTCAGTATTTTACATGTTTTATTTACAATAGAGTTACATGACTAAAAACCATTGCGCGCCTAGCTACCGCGAACGTGATGGCGCAGCCATTGAACGTGACGGCGCAACTATTGAACGTGATGACGCGTGTGGTGTGGTTGGATAAAAATGCCTACTAATTCGGTCCAAATTTTAATTAATTCAAAATTTTTTTTGTGACCGAACGAAAGGATGTTTTTGAAAACTTTCTTCGGCAATATTGTTCTAAATTATGGCAGAAATCGATTGGTACATGTTTCAAGTCGCTAAGTGGTCTGGTTGCCGAGATATGGGCCAAAAACTGCATTTTTTGAGGTTTTTTGGCTTTTCCGGGAAATCCATGAAAGAAACCCGGAATTTTTATGGCCTATGTTCATCCTCATAACTTGCTTAACATAAATGCTTTTGGAACTAGTCCTCGATAATGCTTCGTTGGGGAGGAGATACGACTTAAAGCTGCGGACACACATTCATACATTCATTCATCCATCCATTAATCCATCCAGAAATGACGGGTTAATAAACGCAATTCTCCAGAATGGAAATTGCGCTAAAAAAATTTGGTTGCTGGAAATAGGTTTGTAATATTGTAAACACTATCAGAACGTAAGTTGCCAGAAAAAAACGATTGCCCGAAGAGCCAATTGTCTATAGGGAAAACAATCGTAGTTCGAGCGATTTTTTTTTCGGTTATTCGTCTTAGACCTGTGGTTTATAGTGTGCATCTAATCGACTAACCCAGGGGTCTCCAAACTTTTCAGTCCGAGGGCCGCATTAACTATCAAATTTCAGCTCGGTGGCCAGTTTCTTCCAGGCATGTCTTTGATTTTTCTGGGCAAAGTTCCTCAGCCATCACCAACAAACGATTTTTTCATGGACAAAATGATCTCCGCGGGCCGGATGAGAGGACTTCGCGGGCCGCATCCGGCCCGCGGGCCGTAGTTTGGAGACCCCTGTGACTAACCAATAATCAAAATAAGAAAATCTAAACTGGGAAATTTGAAGATTGGTTGCTTAATTTTTTTTTTAAATATGCGAACGAAGCCTTTCTGGTAAACTTTGAAGAAACCAATAATAAACTCTACATTAAGAAGAGAATAATTATTTTAACCTTTCAAGTCCTGACGCCAATTACAAATTCAAAAACGCGTAGATTATAATGTGTTTAACTCTCCAACGTATGAGACGACTTGCTAAAATAGTAGCGCTGACCTCATTATTGCCCAAATGAGCCTAATTCCTAGGAAATTGAAACAGATGAGCTCTACATGCTCTTTATGGGAACAGGGAAAATAATAAATTTCGGCAGCCAAATTTCAACTCGAAATTTTGTAGGTTAAATTCTTTTTAAAAAGCCCTTCAATGTCCAGCGGAAAAAAAAGTGGACGAAAACTCGAAACAGTGGAGACTAAAACACTAAAACTGAAGGAAAAAAAAAACTCGAAATAGTGTAGACTAAAACAGTAAAACAGTGAAGACGAAAACTTGAAACAGTGGAGACTAAAAGGGTCTAAAACTCGAAACAGTGTAGACTAAAACAGTAAAACAGTGAAGACGAAAACTTGAAACAGTGGAGACTAAAAGGGTCTAAAACTCGAAACAGTGTAGACTAAAACAGTAAAACAGTGAAGACGAAAACTTGAAACAGTGTAGACTAAAAGGGTCTATAACTCGAAACAGTGTAGACTAAAACACTAAAACAGTGAAGGAAAAAACTCGAAACAGTGTAGACTGAAACACTTAAACTGAAGAAAAAAACCTCGAAACAGTGTAGACTAAATCTGGTTTTACCTTCAGCTGTGCTACGTACTCGTCTCTCTTGCTCTCAGCCCCACAGTGACTGACCCACCAAGTAGCCATCTTTGTTTTGTTTCTCGCGATCTCCACTGTAAGCAATAAATAAATACATTTCCAAGCGATGCACGTTTCTCTTTTAATTATAAATTAGCGTGACTGTAAATCTGGAGTGGACGCACAATAATTCTGAGCCACAATCTATTTCAGCCACAAGTTTTACTGTTGACACAATAATTCTGAGCCGAAATCTATTTCAGCCACAAGTTTTACTGTTGACACAATAATTCTGAGACATCTATTTCAGCCACTACGTTTTACTGTTGGCACAATAATTCTGAGACATCTATTTCAGCCACTACGTTTTACTGTTGGCACAATAATTCTGAGACATCTATTTCAGCCACAAGTTTTACTGTTGACACAATAATTCTGAGACATCTATTTCAGCCACTACGTTTTACTGTTGGCACAATTATTCTAAGCCAAAATCTATTCCAGCCACTACGTTTTACTGTTGGCACAATAATTCTAAGCCAAAATCTATTTCAGCCACAAGTTTTACTGTTGGTACAATCAGAGGGGTAGAGGGGGGGGGGGGGGGCGGGGGGTACGGTCCGCACCTGGTGACACCACTCAGGGGGGTGACACCAAGGCTAAAAATAGCAAAATATATAGAGAAAAATGATGATTCCACTTAATTAAGTGATTAATTCGAGTGTTAAATAGTCTTTTAATAGGTGCAAATCGAAAGTTTAAAGGGGGGGGGGCTGCAAATCGAAAATTGAAAGTTTGTCCCCGGGAAGTGTCGCTACGCCTCTGGGGGGGTGACACCATTAAGTGCCGCACCGGGTGACACCCGACCTCGCTACGCCACTGGGTATAATAATTCTGAGCCACAATCTATTTCAGCCACTACGTTTAACTATTGGTGTAGCCTCGCACCAAACTTTTATCGAGGTTAAAATCATTATTTATTTATAGTAGCCGTAGTTTTCTAGATCTTACAGTATTTCTCCTCGCTAAGTAGCTAATTAAAGGACGGGGTGGCCTAAGCTGTAGAGCGCTAGGCTGCTAAACCGAAAATCTCGAGTTCGAATCCGGGTTCAAGTCAGTACAACGTCTCTGAGTCCACCTAATAATGTGTATCTAATTTATGTTAGGGAAAGCAAAGGCGGCTGGGCAACCACACCTTCCTTTCATATACCGAGGTCGAGAAACATGAATGGATCGCTAGGTCGAAAGAGGAATCTTTACTTTATAAGTAACCTAATAACATTAATATAATAGCCCAATTTTTCTCGGACTTACAGTAACTCTCGTCACTAGTTATTTAATAATATTAATATGATAGCCCACATTTTCTCGGACTTACAGTAACTCTCGTCACTAAGCAACAGCCTGCTGTCCCGCCAGGCCATCAGGTGAATAGGCGCGAAGACGTCGGCGTCCACTCTGTAGGAGATGGTCCAGTTGAAGACGCTTCTCCATGGCTCATACTGACCTGTGGTGGATTCCAGTAACAATAGAAAGTTGTCAGAGCATTTTGTATTTTTTTTTTATTTAAAAATTTTAATTTTTAAAATTTAAATAGAAAGATAAGTCAGAAAATAATAGCTTTTTGAAGTTACAGATAATGACCTCACTCTAAAATATATATTTTTTTCTTTTTTTTTTTAAAAAGCCGTGTGGTTTTACATTAAAATCTTAAGTAAAAATATTTGATTTACACTTCATATAAAAGTAAAACAAATACTTACCTGGATAACCATAGTTAATCGGAGATTCCCACATGATTTTGACCCAAATCTGGCCTGGGGGTCTCGCAGGGGGCGCACTGTTCAAGTACCCGACAAAAAATAACAACACATCAGCGCTTTCCTTTTTCTTTCCCGTGAAGTCCATCTCGCAGTTCGAATACTCGCATTCCGTGAACTCGTTTCGGGAAGAATTCGTGAAAGCAGTTTTGAACCAATGCGGGGAGTTAAACGAGGATATTATCTTCGGACTTCCGGTTTCGTTTCGAATTCCTCTGACGTTCCACGGGTTGATGATGAGAGGGGATTTGAACTCGTGGTCTTCCACGGGTTCGAACCCCAACTGGTTGAGCCGCGCTCTCAAATCTTCAAGTCCGGTGGTCGAGTTTTCTGGTGATGTGACGCGCGTTTCCTTAGTAACCCGAATTCTGACGTTTGTGGGCGTGGCTTGAAAGAACGTGCGCACACCTTCCGTAAACTTCCGCTGAACGGCACCGTCAAAGACGGCTAAGAACAGAAGGGTGAGCAGGATGACAAGGGACATGGTTTTCAAAACTTTCATATAACTTATATTGCGGGACAGACACCGAACCTTCATTGTACCTGAAATTTTAAAGGAAACAACCATGGTTTATCTAGATCTAGATCTACATATATTATTATATACATACATACAAGACCGTTACGTTCCGTGGAGCGTATAGGAAGTTTTTAAAACAAAACGAAAAAAATATGCACAGCTCTACAGCCTGAAAAGTACACACAATAAAATGACGTCATTGATTATGGAGTAAACATGAAATTAAAAAACCATTGCCGAGAAAAAATACACAATAATAATGACGTCATCGATACTAGTCTTGATAATTAAGACACTAAAATTACCACCTAATTTAAAAACGTCTCGAAGAAACACATCTCGTGAATGCACCAGAGGCGTAGCTAGGGGGGGGGACATATGTCCCCGGGCGCCGACCTTAGGGGGCACCAAATTGAAAGTTTGCGGGGGGGGTCGCAAATGAAAAGTTCGAGGGGTGGTGCAAATCGAAAGTTTGAAGGGGGGGGGGTGCAAATGAAAAGTTCGAGGGGGGGGGGGGGGCAAATCGAAAGTTTGAGGAGGGGTGCAAATGAAAAGTTCGAGGGGGGTGCAAATCGAAAGTTTGTCCCTGGTCGGTGGGAAGGGTCGCTACGCCTCTGGAATGCACTGGTTGAGCTGTTCGTCTGATATAAGTTATGTAGTCAGCCTTAATGTATATTGCAACATTACAATTTACAGTTTGTTTAATTTCTGTAAGGAAAATAATATAAATTTTGTTAGTACTTATTTAGAAACGCTCAACGTCTTATATAAAAAAAAGTAAAGTTCCCCTTTTAAACCCGACGGTCTATAGGGAAAGTGAAGTAGAGTTCACTTGTTTCTGTGACCTCGGTAAATGAAGGGATGCCCAGCCGCATTTCCTTTACCTAACGTGAGTCTACTGACTTGAACCCGGATTCGAACTCGAGATTTACGGGTTAGCAGTCCAGCTCTCTACCGCTAGACTACTCCGTCTTACAAAATTAACATAAAATTACCGCATCAGTTTTGACTGAAATATCATCAAAATTAATTTCAGAAACAGCTGTATCAAATGCACAACAATCGCTGCAGCAATATAGATAGCAATTGACACACAATAAGGCAGAGAAGTTTAGCTAAATAACGTGTACTCAAGTAGATTAAGCTGCACTTATATTTGGCCATGAGATGCTAGCCGTGTTACGTGTTATATACTGGTGGTGTGACATGTTATATACTGGTGGTGTGATGTGTTATATACTGGTGGTGTGACATGTTATATACTGATGGTGTGAAGATGTATATACCATGGTGTTGTGACGTGTTATATACTGGTGGTATGACGTGTTATATACTGGTGGTGTGACGTGTTATATACTGGTGGTGTGACATGTTATATACTGGTGGTGTGATGTGTTATATACTGGTGGTGTGACATGTTATATACTGATGGTGGGATGTGTTATATACTGGTGGTGGGATGTGTTATATACTGGTGGTATGACGTTTTATATACTGGTGGTGGGATGTGTTATATACTGGTGGTATGACGTTTTATATACTGGTGGATTGACGTGTTATATACTGGTGGTGTGACGTGTTATATACTGGTGGTGTGATGTGTTATATACTGGTGGTGTGACATGTTATATACTGGTGGTGTGACATGTTATATACTGATGGTGTGAAGATGTATATACCATGGTGTTGTGACGTGTTAAATACTGGTGGTGTGACCTGTTATATACTGGTGGTATGACGTGTTATATACTGGTGGTATGACGTGTTAAATACTGGTGGTGTGACCTGTTATATACTGGTGGTATGACGTGTTATGTACTGGTGGTGTGACGTGTTATATACTGGTGGTGTGATGTGTTATATACTGGTGGTGTGACATGTTATATACTGATGGTGTGAAGATGTATATACCATGGTGTTGTGACGTGTTATATACTGGTGGTATGACGTGTTATATACTGATGGTGTGAAGATGTATATACCATGGTGTTGTGATGTGTTATATACTGGTGGTGTGACATGTTATATACTGATGGTGTGACGTGTTATATACTGGTGCTGTGACGTGTTATATACTGATGCTGTTACGTGTTATATGCTGTTGGTGTGACGTGTTATATACTGGTGGTGTGACATGTTATATACTGATGGTGTGACATGTTATATACTGGTGGTGTGACGTGTTATATACTGGTGTTGTGACGTGTTATATACTGGTGGTGTGGCGTGTTATATACTGCTAGTGTGACGTGTTATATGCTGATGGTGTGGCGTGTTATATACTGGTGTTGTGACGTGTTATATGCTAGCCGTGTTACGTGTTATATACTGGTGGTGTGACCTGTTATATACTGGTGGTGTGACGTGTTATATACTGGTGGTGTGACGTGTTATATACTGGTGGTGTGACGTGTTATATGCTAGTGTAGTGACTTTTTATATACTAGTGGTGTGACTACCAGCTGTAAATAGTAGTGCTATAATGTGTTATACCGACTTCTAGTGTAACAATGTCTTAGCTGATTTCCCAGCTTATCGTTTGCATTCGGTTTATTAATTAGTTCCTTACACACTGATGAGACACATCTCACCACAAGATGCCTCTAAATTAAAGGTGACACGTGCCACCACGTCAAAACCTAATCAGCCTAATTTTCAAACGTCATTTTTTTTTACCTCAACCTCCGTCCCAAATTCCTTCCCTCTACAACAGCGGTTAAAAAACTACTCTACCACTGACACCTTGTAGATTTGCGTACTTAAAAACACGAACCACGAAACACCAGCACCGAGACAAACTTGACTAACTTCTCCACATAAATAACACTTCTAACACCGCGGGATTAAGAGCTAACTCGTCTTTAAGTCCCCTTTAATGGGACAGCCTGAAATTATTACTCGGAAATATTTCAGAACTCTCTTGAAAAAATTACTTCTACTCAGTCCGCGTCTTTTATTAAAGTTTCAAAACGCCACAAACTCGACAAAAGGGATGATAGAGGCTACGTCTAGAGACTGACGCTAAGTCTTAAACTGTCAGGAACGGAACGAGGACAACATTTTAACCAGGAAACGGATCATTAATTATCGTTAATTATTTTCTTTGCACCAGTTAAGTCGACATGAGCCCACGAACGTAAAATAATTTTAATGCGATACATGGTCACCTTGTCCGTAGCCCAATGGAATATATATATATATATATATATATATATATATATATATATATATATATATATATATATATATATATATATTTATATAGTGGTACCTCGAGACACAGATTTAATTCCTCCCGTAAATTTGCTCGTTTGTGAAATTGCTCGTGTAACCAAGCAGTTTTTTCATTAAAATTAATTAAAATGTCATTAAACCGTTCCAGCCTTCATAATGTCACCACAATTTTTTTTTGTTACGTGTTTCTGAATAATAATAATAATAATATATTCATAAATGACAAACTTTGTATTAAAAATTTTGGAAAGGAGAAAGTAAAGAAATTTAAAATTTTAAACACGGTTGTTAAAACAGAAGTTAAGTATCTTTTAATTATGTGTTTCCTTTTGTGTGCTAATAAAATTTTAAAAAATCATTTGAAACAAACAAGAAACAAAATGGCAAGCATTACTAAATATCATATATCAAGGTAAATAGAACATTATCTATCTATATATATAATTCTCCTCTTCGAGCCGTTAGAAAACAAGCTGCAAACGCTCTCCCTACCTCCCCACCCCTACATGGTTTTAGTGAGCTGTGTTCACTCTAAATGTTTACAAGCAGAGCCAACGATTTTAAACGTAGGGGGGGGGGAGGGGGGGGGGGGGAAGGAAGGGGGGGGGATTATGGTCCTTAACGAGCTACTTATAGTGTTTTAAAGAAATATTTTCAGTGTCAGCGTTGGTACTGTCGAATTCACAAATTATGAATTAATGAAAATTAGAAACAACTAAATAGCGGCGTATGTTATGCCGCGGGCCGGCTCGTATATATATAATTCTCTTCTGGGAGCCGCTAGAAAACAAGCTGTAAACGCGCTCCCTACCACCCCCTTCCCTACATGGTCTTAGTGAGCTGTGTTCACTCTAAATGTTTCAAGCAGAGCCAGGTTTTGTGACGACTATTAGGGGCAGATAATTTAGTTTGAAACGATTTTAAACGTGGGGGGGGGGGGGGGGGGGGAAGGAAGGGGGTGGGGGGGTTATGGTCCTTAACGAGCTATTTATAGTGTTTTAAAAAAATATTTTCAGTGGCAGCGTTGGTACTGTCGAATTCACACATTATGAATTACTGAAAAGTAGAAAAACAACAACTAAATAGCGGCGTATGTTATGCCGCGGGCCGGCTCGTTTTAATTAAAATTCTCTATGCTCTCTTAGACATAAAGTCTAGATGGAGACTTGGAATCTTAAAACCAAATAGTCCTAAGTAGCAAACATACGAGAATTTTCCACAAATATTGTTTTTGAGAGTAACTTCCCTTGTGCGTGCAACTTACGGAGACGTCCAGATTTCATATCAATCAGAGGCCGTTAATCTTCAGTTTTGACCTTGATCTGTCTGGCCCGGATTTTCCTGGCACAACTTAAGCAGATTCATGGATAGCTGGATAATCTGGGTGATTTTCTGAATTAAAATAGCAGTTTGTGGGTGTTGGGCATAAATTCAAAAGCAGTGTTTCTTCCAGACTTTTTTCTCTAGGGGGGGGGGGACACTTGAAATTTTCGGGGGGGGGGGGGCGGTAGACTTTCTTCGGGGGGGGGGGGGGGGCGGGGTGCGGACACTGTTAAAAGTATATATTTTCTATATAAATTTCATTTGTTCGGGGGGGGGGGGGGGTGGGGCGGCAGAGACCCCCCCCCCCCCCCCGAAGAAATGGATTCAAAAGGAAGGTTACGGACATCAGGGCATAAATTCAAAAGGTAGTATTCGGCAAGAACGAATCCAGTTATTGTTGTTTTACGGTAAACAATGTAAACATTGGAATTGTACTTAAGTTATCTAGCAAAATAATGCGTTTCTTAGAATTCGTGTTGGCAGGGATTTTAAACATTTTTTTGTAGTAAAATACCATTGCAAAATAATTTTTATTAAAAATCGTACTCGAGGACAGTGATTCTTTCAGGCATCCCCCCCCCTTCGAACTAATAGAAGTTATATAGAAAAATATATAATTTTACC